AGTGAGACTCTGTCTCAAAAAAAAAAAAAAAAGAAATAATTCTTAATAATAGGACAAATTACTCTTTTTAATTATTGACAGGAAGTCCCCTATGAAGAAAGGTTTTCTTCATCCTACCCATTCCCTTTTGCTTTGATCCGCGTGTTAGGTCTTTGTAACACAAAGTCGCTGCCAGCTAGCCGGTCAGGATGAAGTGGACAGGGAAACTGGGACCAGATAAGGAGCAGCCCCCCTAGGCTTCATGGAGATATGAGATGAGGCTTCATCCTTCTAAGATAAAGAAGGAAGCTGCTACTCTTACAGTCAAAGAGAGGCTGCAGTTGTTTTTGGATCTGCTGAATTCCAAGAGCTGCACAGAAATGGCAGCAGGCAGCGACTGTGGCTGTCCCAGGTATTTCTAGCACCAGCTGCTTCCCTAACCTGTGGCAGGGCCACTCCATCCTGCTCTACTCCAGCTGTTGCTTCAGGCTCAGATCTGATAACGGGGCCCGCTGGTCATGTCCTGTAGCTGAGTGTCTGCCCTGCTCGTTTCAGTCTTGCACAGGAACTGACAATGACCCTCTGGCAGGAAGCCCTTGTTCTCCTCTTTCCCCAGTTTTCAAATTCTTAGCCCATGTTCTTTTCGTATGGCTGTCTTTTATGAGTAAGCAGTACTGCAAAGAGCTTTGATCATCCCAGTGAGGGGCATGGGTGTCATCTGTTCAACCTGAGGTTTTCTCCATCAGCAATAACTACAAAATTACTTGATAAATTTTTCCGCCCTTTGCAGGAGGGCAGCATTATTGATTTGGAAACAAATGAATTTGAAGAGGCTAAAACTTAGCTCAAAGTGTGAGTCTGTGAACTTGGCCAAGTTCCTTAAACCTTAGTCCCTTCATCTTTTAAATGTGCACAATATCTACCCCGTCGGGCTGTTTCAGGAATTAACAAAGCAATTAAATGCAAGAAGCTTGCATAATAGCTAGGGAAATCGTAAGCACACAATGACTGTTAGCTATTGTATATGACAGGATAATCATTAAAGACTTGGTTAACCTATAGGCTTCTTTAGCTAAGGAACAGTGAATTTATTGAGTAAAATTTGAGCGATGGTGAGAATGAAGTTTCTTCTTTTTCCATTGAATTTCAGGTGCACCGGAGAAGAATATCTGGAGAGTCAAGGCATCGATCTCTCACCGTGGGGCTTGTGGAAGAATCACGTGGCCTTGGCTTGTCTGATCGTTATCTTCCTCACAATTGCCTACCTAAAATTGTTATTTCTTAAAAAATATTCTTAAAGTCCCTTTTCATGTACTAGGATTTATCCTCACATAAAAAAGGAGCACCTTGATTTATCTTACATATTCAGTCAAGTTTTTTTCTTGTCTGCTGTTCAGGCGCCATTGTACTGCTGTCCAGCAACAATTATTTTCGACAGAAACATTCATAGAAATCACAGCGGACTGAATTATACATGAAAAAGCCCAGGTCAAAAATGAATGAGACTACGTATCACATATTCATCTCGCCAGACAGTAACCACGGGGAAGAAATCTAGTCTAATTTATTGACCTAAAAAAGAGGAGAATTGAATTCTAGATGCTCCTGACAAGTTACTAATATCTCTGGTATCCGTTTCCTTGTCTTTAAAATGAATAGGTAGGTTAACAGCCCTCTGGTTTTAGTGTTCTGTGAATCTATGACCTGCTATTATTTAATAAATAACAAATGTATTAATGCTGTATTGGAAGTGTGAAATCTAAAATATGTTGGAAAAACCAGTCTAATTGATAGGGTGAAAAAGCCATTGTGATAGAAAAAAATTCTTTGATAAGCTTGTCAAGGTTAATAGAACTTACCAGTATTTCTCTCTAGTGGTATTACGATATTTCGGGAATCTTGGCTGGGTGTTTTGGACTTGGGTGGAATAGAAAACCAGGAGCCTGGTGATACAGTTCTTGTGCCATTGCTGGGACATTCTAGCTCTGGAAAGTCACTTAATCTTCTTGGGATGGTTCCTTGGTTTATAATCTGTAATCTGGGTGTGCATCAAAATCATCTGAGGAAACTTGCTAAAAATACAGATGTCTGAGCCCTGCCTGGCCCCACTGCACAGGTATCTTCAGATGTCCCTCCATAAAGAGCTCTGACCATTTCTGGATTTGGTAATTTTAAAGACTCTTTCCAGCTGGCCGGGCGCGGTGGCTCACGCCTGTAATCCTAGCACTCTGGGAGGCCGAGGCGGGCGGATTGTTTGAGCTCAGGAGTTCGAAACCAGCCTGAGCAAGAGCAAGACCCCGTCTCTACTAAAAAAAAAAATAGAAAGAAATCATCTGGACGACTAAAAATATATAGAAAAAATTAGCTGTGTGTCGTGGTGCACACCTGTGGTCCCAGCTACTCGGGAGGCTGAGGCAGGAGGATTGCTTAAACTCAGGAGTTCGAGGTTGCTGTGAGCTACGATGACACCACCACGCTCGCTCTACCCAGGGCAACAGAGCAAGACTCTGTCTCAAAAAAAAAAAAGGGAACAGTGTTTAACATTTGATTAATGCATCATCCTGTTAACACATTATCTTTTTTCCTGGTTATTATGTGACCATAAAGGTTAATAATCAATTTTTGTTGTTTTTAGTTACAACTTCTGCTTTTTTCTTAACCGTGCCTTACTCTCAGTTCCCTATGTATACTTTTCCCTCATTACGCAGAGAGAAATAGATCTATACTTTATACACAAAATAATATACTTCACAAAAGAAAGAAAACAGCCAAAATGTTTAACATCTACTTTTTTAAATTAATGAGAATTTAAATGTACCTATTATGTTTATACTCTTTTTGTATTAAAATTGCCCTTTTATATACTTTTTTTATGTTATGGCAAGAAACACATGACATAAAATGTACCATCTTAACCATTTAAAAATTAAAGGACATTTTAAAAAAGTGTAGTTTATCGTCCTGTAAAGTGGAAAAGAAAATGTTAGTTTGTAGAAATTTACTTAAGAACATGTATTTTTTAAAATTTTGTTTATTTTCTTGGATGTCAGAACTGATCTATAATGGAGGGGACAAATTGGTTTAAAATAAAATAAAACTTAAGGATTAAATGAGAGTTGCTATTTATACTCATACAATAAATATATACTGTTTATTTTGTTTTTTAGTCCTTTGTGGCAGAACTATATAGGGTTTTATGATACCGCTTGCTGTTCTATGTGTAAAGAATTTTGGAGAAGTAGGATTGTAGAAGGTAATTAGCTTGCGAGCATCTCTAAGTCGTTGCTATATTTAACAAACTTTTTTGACTAGTATCCACGATAAAAAAAAATCCATATTATAACCCATTTCTTTGTGTATGCACACAAATAATCCAAACAAGTTTCGTGCGGTGCATTCTGAAAGGTATTTTTGAAATAGAGTTAGAATAAAAACATTTTATAGGTCCCTCAGTAAACATGTAATCAGTAAATATGTATTTTCAAAGTTATCTATCTGCCTCCTTATCTTTAGTGACCTAATTTGATAAATTATGGGGATATGCTGGTAATAATGGCTCTACTTCCTTCACATGAAAATCGTAAAGACTAAGCTGCTCCCCTAAGACCGTGATCCACACCTTCAGTCCTGAGGGCCCGGAGCCCTTGGTGACCTCGCCCCTGTCAGGCTGTGGGGCATGGAACACTGAGTTACCTCTGTGAATTCCCTGCCCAGGTAGGCAGCAGTGATGCTGGCCTCTCAGAATGACAGGGATGACTAACGCTATAAACTCCTCTGCCTGCTGTTCCACCAGCGTGGAAACCCCACTGCAACTAAGTGGCAAAGTGTCAGATTCAGTGGACCCCTCACTGCATTCCAAGGTGACATGTCCCCCCAGCTCTTGAGGATCCAGGACCTCTCATCCAGCAGAGCCTAAAACTGCAGGGTCAGGAAGCATCAATTCTAAAGACGGGTTCGTGGGGATGATACTGAGAGAGGCCAGTACCTCTTGGTTCCTGGACCGTGCGTTCTAACTGTGGGGAACAGACACCAGTGGTCGAACGCAGGGGTCTGCACGCTTTCCACAAAGGGCCCGATAGTAAATATTTTACGCTTTGTGGTCCATGATGGTCTTCGTCACAACCGCTTTGCCATCATAAGGCAAAAGCAGCCATAGAGGATACAAAAACAAACGAGCATGGCTATGTTCCAAAAGAGTCTCCTTCACCGAAGCAGGCAAAGGCTGGATTTGGCCCGCAGGCCAGTTTGCTGAACCCTGGCCCAGTGCATAGAACGCAGGCTGGAGGACCGTGCTCCTGTCCCCACTGAGGCTGTCACCCACCAACTGGCCCTAGCACGGTGCTTATGCCCCGTCTGAAGTCCTGTGGATATGATGGTGATAATGAAATATTAAATACTACACCATCATCAGTATAACTTACTAGAGCTACACACTGCAGATGCAATACATCTTAATAACACAGCATTGTAAGAAACAAGGTCTATGGTATAAATTCATTTATTGAAACACATAAACAGATTTATAGTCTGGAGATGAAGGAGAAAATATAATAATGGTGGCTAGGATAAAATTGCTTAAAACATTTATTGGGGTTGACGTGAGAAACATATGGCACAACTCACATAGGTGGTGGTGTTATGCTAGAAATCTTAATTGTAAAAAGGAATTATTGCCCAAGAAACTGCTTTGATTTATATAAAGACTTTGGACAGATTTTGTTTGGTCTTATTCAAAGGAGGAGATTCCAAGATAAAATAGGGAACTTATTAATATAATGGCTTTGATGAAAACATTTTTATTTTGAACTTAAAATGAAGTTTGGAGGATTGCTTTTCAAGCCTTTAAAATCTTGTGCTTTGATCTAATGGGAAACAAGTGTGTTTTGTTCATTTAAAGAACAGTCTGGAATAAAACAAATATGGTATTAGAACATTTCATTTCATATGTGTTTCTAGTTTGTTTTTTCTTAAGTTCAAAGTCTGGACTCAGAGAAAGACAAAATCAAATATCTTTTTCTACATCTGCAACTGCACGTTCGGTTCAATGGTATGTTTGGATTTGTTTGATAAACTAAGAGACTGATCAAGATAAATAACAAAGTTTGTATTAACAGCGTTAACTCTGTGACCATTCACTACATCAGTTTAGAGTTCAAGTTCATGGGCATTTGGAGTTTTGGGGAGCACGGGTTAATGCTTAATGAATTACATTTCTCAAAGCTATGTTTGTTTTCCAAGCTACTTGATAGCTTTCTACTATTATTTATAAATAGAACATAGCTTATATTTTCAAGATAGCTCTTACCATGATTGGCATTTTCTTGGGCGACCAAATATTCCCAATGCTTATTCCACTTGGTAGGTTCATACGGAAAGGTGCTGTTTATTCAATTTTTCCATCTCTCTCTTGCCTTCTTACTGCTTACGTTGTGCAATAAAGGACAATTAATCCTTTTAATTACATCTTTGGGTAGATTTTTCCCCCAATAGTATTAAATATTTCTTTTCATCAGTACCAGAATCAGCAGTTCATAAGAGAAAAAATATAGATGATTCATATGAAAAAATTGAAACCTTAAGGAATTGTAAAAATTGATGCTATTTTTACTTATTGAATTGGCAAATATTAATCTTTTTCCATCGAAGGCTACTTTTTCCTTCTAGAGATCAGTGGTGGCCTGTTATTTTTATATAAATGTTGGCTATATTTTACTGTCTTGAAACTTAAAACTGACATCCACTAAAAAAATCCCTACCTTTTGAAATTTTGAAGATATTTCTTTCTTTTTAAAAATCTAGCAGAAGCTCTAAGAAATCCTGTCTTTTATGAGGCAACATCTGAGGTTCAGTCATTTTCTTCATTTTTGTGCATAATTTTCTTGCTTACATTCAAACAAAAATAAATAATTTTGTAAAAATAAAAATTCACTGTGTTGGTAGTGGGAAGATGGATACTCAAATAATTTTGGTTCCTATATGAATTAGTATAAACGTTCTGGAAAACAGTTTCACAATTTATTACATTTCCAGATACTTTTTCATAAAGAAATAACTAGATACGTGAAAAAATATTTATGTCTAAGTATGTTAGTCATAGAATTATAGATAATAATGAAAAAGTGGAACAATAGAAATGTCCAGTACCAGGGAAGAGGTTAATGTTTTAGTTAACTCATATCAATTATAAATTTATAATTTATGAATTCACATGCATTGGCATATTCATATATAATATGAATGTGCATTTTATTATATAGAACTCATGCATATTCATATATAATACTAATTTATGTAAATTCACTCTGTAGCCATTATCAAAAGCAGGATTTCATGGCATGTTTGAGTTATAAAATGAAGTGAACTGGTCCACAAAACTGTACAAACCATATGATCCCAATTTTGAAATATATATGTACACGAACTTACAGAAGACTTTTAAGTAAGTTTTTAATTATCACGTGGCAACATCAGCCCCCTTTATTTGCCTTTCAAACTGGAACGCATCAAGAATGCCTGTCCTTTTTGCTGATTCAGCAGATCGCTCCGTGTTGGGCGCCCCCGTGCGCCACGCGCCACACTCTCTCCCGTCTGGAACGGAAACGTCCGCCGTAACGTCCCTGCATTGCTGCACACACGTGCTTATTTCGTTATCGGAATCCTGCGAGGGAGACAAGGTACGTACTCGTTCTCTCATTTTACACGTGAAGAAAGGGCGTCTGCAGAGAAGCGGGACCAGGTGTCCTGGCTGGTAAGCACGGTGCAAGGATCAGAGCCTCAGCCTCGTGCATTTTCCCGATGCTGCAAACGTCTCCCTGCCTTGCGGGGGGGTCTCCATGCCGAGTCACGCGGCACGACTCCGCGGGCGCCGCTTGCATTGTGTTCTAGGGGGCTGGGATCCCTTGGAGTGGGACCACACGGGATCGTAGGTAGCACGTGCTGCAGCCACCCGGCCCACGCCCTTGCCGACGACCAGTGTTGCGTGTCTGCCTCGCTCAGAAGCCAGCCAGGGCTGCTCTGTCTGCGGGAAGCGCTAGGGAATCACTGCCCTTCCCCCAGAGTGGCCTCCCAACCGGAGGCCTCGCCCCTCAGGTGGGATGAATCTGAACTGTTTGTTCTAGGTTGTTCTCCACTGTTCCCCAGAGTCTCACCACAGGAACTAAGCTTCAGCAGCCTCCACTGACAGCCTCGGTCACCCCGCTTTACCCATGCCTCTTCCCCCCTGTCCTCCCCACGCCACCACCCCTACCGCTCACACCTCCCGAGCAAACCACCCGCCCTGGCATCCTTGTCTCAGGCTCTGTCCCTGCGGGGAAATAGAAAACCAGACACCATGCGTGACAGCTTTGTGTTTAAAGGGTAATTAGTTACCTGAAATGCACAGTTGGTATAATAACCATAGAAATGTGTCAATTATGTTGTTTGGGGGCACAGAACGAGAAGGTACCTTTTTCAGTCTAAGCCTTTACTGTTAGTGTCATGATAAAAGGCAAACCACCCAACTGTTTCTACTTAGGAGACAGACAACTCGTAACATCTGCTGTTATATCAAGTCTTTATTAAGAAGTAAAGAGCTCAGTATTACACATTAATAAGATTCTTGATTGTGAAGACTTGCATACGTAACATCTTCTTAAGAATACCAATTCAGAGGGGAAGAGGACAGGGATGGGACGAGGGGGGAATTCTCCATGACTAAAGAAGAAAAATACACGTCGTTTATGAGTTAAGGAGAAAGAATTCTGCAAAATTTTACAAGTGCAATGAAAAACAGCATGATAATAAGTATCATAAAAAGACTTTCTAGTGACCATAACTGATCTATGGCACATGGTCCATGCACATGGATACCACATAAGGGTTGCACTTCAAATTGAAGTTTGTTTACATGTAACGACATGGCACACATACGTAAATATGTACACTCAATATCCCTGGAATGCAAACGTTAGCACGTAGTAATAAAGAACTTTGTGTAGCATATTCGAAAGAAAGTAGAGACAGAGATGAAACCATGAGGAATGACTGTTCAAGACATATTCCACTGACTAAATGAAGTTGTGAATTTAAAATACAGCATTAAAAAACAGAACTCTCTCCTACTAGTTCTCCGCGTGAGGGTTATTCACCAGGACTGCGTTCTCTCCTGCGTATCCTATTAGCTCTCAAAAAGTCACCATACTGAACACTTTGGTAAAATAAAATCTTTTTTTTTTTTTGAGAAATAGATTCTCCCCCATAAATTTGGCGAGACCCTCTCCTAATGAAGCCAACCGCTGCCAACTCAGACTTTAGCTGATACCTTTTTGATGATGGATGAACTTTCAATACTAAAACCTCCTTTTCATTAAATTGAGCTCCATTTGGATTACAAATTCTAGTTCTGGCCAGGTGCGGTGGCTCACGCCTGTAATCCCGGCACTCTGGGAGGCCGAGGCGGGCGGATTGCTTGAGCTCAGGAGTTCGAGACCAGCCTGAGCAAGAGCGAGACCCCCGTCTCTACTAAAAATAGAAAGAAATTAGCCAAACAACTAAAAATAGAAAAAATTAGCCGGGCATGGTGGCGCATGCCTGTAGTCCCAGCTACTCGGGAGGCTGAGGCAGGAGGATCGCTTGAGCCCAGGAGTTGGAGGTTGCTGTGAGCTGGGCTGACGCCACTGTACTCTAGCCTGGAAAACAGAGGAAGACTCTGTCTCGGAAAAAAAAAAAAGAAAAAAAAGAAAAAAAAGAAAAAGTCAAACTCAGTGACAACTTAGGGCTCCTGCCAATTCTCTTATTATGGTTAGAGATGCCATTTTATCCTATAATTGATCTTTGGTAGTTTTACTCAGCTCATTTCAAATTAGAGCCAAAATAATGAAAAAATTAAGTGATACAGTTAGTCCCACAGACATTAGATATAGATAAAGTAACAAAACATAGTACTTAACATCTTTACCACTCAGACAAATTATAGCATAATGACCACGTACCCATTGTCTGATTTGGAGTTCTTTTCCATTTTACCATTTAGAAAAGTTTACCCCAGGAAGGTAGTTGAAATAAAAAAGTCTCCTTTCTTAAAAGAAAGCTACGTATTACGCTCACGAGCGATGCCAGAGTGGAAAGGAATGCCCTACCTCCCCTTCACCAACCGGGCAAAAGTAACGATACTTATTTTTGAGGTCGGCGAGGAGAGTCAAGGCCTGTGGCAGTTCTCCGCTAGCTTTAAAAGGCGACTTCCTTGTCAGCTGAGACTGCTCAGTCGTGGTGGCCTCCGGGTGTACCACTCGATATACTTTACAAAGATTGCTTTTTCCGTACTCAATATTTACACCTCGATTTCTTATATGCGAAAAAGAAAAAAAAAAATAAGTGTCCTTTGATCCACGGGTAAAGTTTACAGGAAATAAATTAAAGTGCAGAAGGTTAACAATCGGTCACAGAGATCAGTGTCCTTCGGTGGTCGGGGCGTAGAAATAGCGTTCTTGTGACGGTGATTCAGGACAGCCACCCCCCACCTGTTAGGAAGACACACGCTAACACACACACACACACACGCGCATCATACATGGATGTTAGCGTTCCCGTTCCCGCCGCCACCTTCCAGGCCTTCTGCAGACTGCGAGGAAGGCGGCCGCGAGCTTCTGGGGTGCGGGGGCCCGCCGGGTCCCACGGGCGTCCCCAAGCCGCGGCTTAGCTGGGAGGCCGCGTCGTCACATTCCCAGCGCTCCAGCTCTTCCCGCACCAGCCGCTCCATCTGCTCCCTGTGGATGTCACTGTCCCGGCCCAGCCTTTCGTCCTGAAAAGGGAGAAGGAAACCAGGGTGTAGGCGGAGGGCCGATGCGCGCTCCTCTACTTAGAAACTGCATCTTGAATCCGGAGTCCAAGTAATTGTCCGTAGATGGCCAAGGCTGCAGATTTACAGCAGGCGAGAGCGATTGTCAAAGTCACCCGAGTAGTTTTTCACTTAATTCCGTTCTCCAGCCCAGGCAGGACCATCAGTGAGCGTATGGAGTGTTAAGAAAGCACCTGTGGACTATTCCAGTGCAGGCAGGACCATCAGTGAGCGTGTGGAGTGTTAAGAAAGCACCTGCGGACTAGCACGTGCTCTGCAGTTATGGAGAAGGACAAACCTCTCAGGGTAAGGGCTACAAAGTATGACAGCCTTGATATTTTAGAGAATCAAAGAGTGTTTCTAATGCAGAGAGAAAAAGATCTGACAATGAGAGTAAACGGGAACAACATTGTGAATTTCTGTAAATGTGATTTTTTTTTTTTTACTCTTCTTCAATACTTCAAATAGCAAACAGTGTCAGCGACATGCATTTTAATCAGTGAGCGCGGGCCCCGTTCCCCAGTCGTGCCCCAGGCCCTTTACCTCGGCCACTCCCTCCAGCAGCCGTCCCAGCACCTCCCTGCGCTTCAGCTTGGCCCGCTCCATGATCTCCAGCTTCACGATCACCGCGTCGATCTTGGACACGATGCTGCCGATGGAATGTTCCATGCGGTCCACGCGTCTCACCAGGCTGCGGGACACCGCAACAGAGAGGGGCAAAGCCCTGGTCACTCACTGTCTTTTCGGCCCAGGTGGCTTTTCTTTTCTTTTCGAGACAGAGTCTCACTCTGTCGCCTGGGCTAGAGTGCCATGGCGTCAGCCTAGCTCACAGCAACCTCAAACTCCTGGGCTCAAGCGATCCTCCTGCCTCAGCCTCCCGAGTAGCTGGGACTACAGGCATGCACCACCGTGCCCAGCTAACTTTTTCTATATATTTTTAGTCGTCCAGATAATTTCTTTCTATTTTTAGTAGAGACGGGGTCTCGCTCTTGCTCAGGCTGGTCTCGAACTCCTGAGCTCAAATGATCTTCCCACCTCGGCCTCCCAGAGTGCCAGGATTACAGGTGTGAGCCACCGTACCTGGCCTCCAGGTGGCTTTTCAAAGAGAAATGCTAGGGAATTTTTTTCTTAAGCAATGATCATCTGAAACGCTTCCTAAGTGGTTTCAGGCTTTAAACTCTCAGCACTGCTGGTGGGAGTGTTAACTGGACCCATTTTCCTGCAAGTCTACTGTAGCAGAAGTCTTAAAAATTTCCTTTATTCGGAAATTTCATTTTTAGAAAACTTTCTAAAGGAGGCTGGGCACGGTGGCTCATGCCTATAAGCCTAGCACTTTGGGAGGCTGAGGCAGGAGGATCACTTGAGGCCAGGAGTTTGAGGCCTTTTTGGTTGGCAGGATAATGGGAGACTTTAATGTTTTCTTTTACTCTGAGTTGCTAATATTCTTATAATGAACATATTATATAAGAGAAAAAAAATAAAACCAATAAAAGTTATAAAAAAGAACTGATGATTAGTCACGGAAAGGAGTGAATTCTCAATGAGGGAAAATGCTTGGTCTCATTTGGACCCTCGTCAACCCAAATGCTGCCAAGTTGTTTATGCTTACACTTGAAACTCTTCATAGGAAACCCCACTAGAGATGCTTCCCCTCCTTCTGGAGCTATGTCCACTGTCTTCATCGTCATCCTCCTCGGAGTCATCCAGGCTTCTCGGGAAACTCCGGCTGCTCATGGGACGGGGTAAGGAGCTGTGATCCAAATCCAGGTCCTCCTGAAGAACACGGGGCCATTGAGGGAGGGGCAGGAACACCGAGACCCCGCAGAAGCTTCGGCAAGAACTCGGGTAAGTAGGACACGATATGTGCCATTTACTTAGGGTTTCTTTGTGGTTACCACCGGATTGGGGTTCCCAGATTCTTCAGTTTCATGGATCAGTAAATTTCCAAAACAGATCTTAACAACCAGCAAGAAGTCACCAACTTTTTGTTTGCACAAAAAAGAACATTAAAAACACAACAAAGCAAAGAAAAAAGTAAATGAAGAAATATAAGTTGAGTATCCCTTATTTGAAATGCTTGGGACCAGAGGTGTTTTAGATTTTTTTTTTTTTTTGGAATATTTGCATTATAGTTACCAGTTCAACATCTCTAATCGGAAAATCCAAAAATCCGAACTGCTCCAATGAGCATTTCTTTTGAGCATGACCTACGAGTGTCATGTTGGTGCTCAAAAAGTTTTAGATTTTGGAGTATTTTGGATTTTAATTTTTGAGTTAAGAGTGATCAACCTGTATCACCTTCCTTCTATAAAAGATAAAGCATTCCATAGCTCCAAAGTAGGAAGACATAATCTCAGAATAAGAATTTTGACTAAATATAGCCTTGTGAAAATATTCTCATTCTCCGTGTTTACGTTTCACTATGACTGGTGATGTCTGTCACCTACCGGCACTGTTCTTGTGGAGCAGCATTCAGAAACCACTGTTCTAGACTCTTCCTCCTGTTAATTTTATTTTGCTATAAATGTTAATAACTTAAACAGCTAACCAGAATAATTTTGTACTTCTTGATAAATATATATATTTTTTGTCCTCACTCTTATGGAAATTGTGAACTATGCAACTAATCAGCCTTCTCTTTTCAAGTCGATTACAGGAAAGCCTAAGGCCGAATTTGTAGCCCAATCTTAGTAAAGCACAGGTAGTTTTTCTGGAATGCATTTCTTAGCTTCATCCATAACCTACTCTTTTCATGGCTTTTGTTTTGCATCTCTTTTCATTTTGACTTGTTTACATCATGCCAACTTACTCCATTTTTATATATCATTGTGTTATATATATCCTTGGTAGAATAAGCAGGGACCTAATACATAAATTGATTGAGATGGGGGGGTGCAGGAAGACGCTCCGTAGCCCCCTACTTCCTCTCCTTTTACAGGGTCTGTCTGATACGTTGTGGGCGCCGAATCAAATCACGTTCTGCTCAACTAGACCCACCCTCTCTCTCTCTAAGTCGTCTCTCATCTGCTGGTGTTCGTGTTCGGTTAGTTCTTGGTCTCCATCCTGGTCATACTTTGTGAATATCGCCTCGATCTCTGCATCAGTATGGCCCTTCCTGAAATTATTGAGAGGATACAGATGAAATTATTCTTGTACAGGGTCCAACCCAAACACAGAGACATCAAAATGCAAGAGGAAGGGAGAAATCCTTTTCGTACAACACATTCCCGAAAGATACCTGCCTCTGGAAACAAACGTCCCTCTCTGGGAGTCCCTGGGCCAGAAATATCCTTATCACCAAGGACTTACCTTTCGGAGTCAGAATTTCCCAGGGCCACGGGAAGTGTGATTCTTACCCTTTGAGATCTTGTCGAAGTTCGTCGAAGTTTAACTTGCCTCCCCCTTGCCTCAGACTCTCTGAGATGTCATCCACGGTATTTTTTTTCAGTTTTAGTTTGACCAAAGCTTTATGGTAGCCCTAGCGGGGAAAAAAAAAGAGACTTGGTTTAGTTTATTCTCCTTTCGCACTTTCTTTACCTTCCATTTACAGTAGTAACTACTATAAACCCGGTCGGTGCCGGTGTAAATTGGACCCTCAGCAAGTGTGTTGAATGAATAATGAATGTATCCAGTTTTCCACAGAACTCTTGTGGAATAGTTATATGGAAAACGTCAGGGTCTTTCAATAAATCAAGAAGAACTAAGGGCCTTTTATTCATACACGAACTCAAGTTCAGGTGATAGACATGAAAATCACTATATATCCCATAGCTGTCTGCCTCAGAATATTCAGGAATGTGCAATAATACTTAAGGATACCAAGAAACCTGAGTCATGTAATTATCATAGTCAATAATATCCTTATATATGTTAAGTGTGTAAAAAAAATCCCAGCGAAATGCAGATGAGGATGTTTGACCACCAAACTTTAGGCAGCTCTAGCTTCGCATTGGTAATACGATACTGTTAAGAGTGTAAAGTTGAAATTGGTCTGAATAGTTAATAGGAAGAATTGCTTTGTGACCTTTTGTCAAAACATTTAACAACTTCCTTGGTTTTTTACATAAATTTATAAGGAAATAAAAAAATAAAATGAATTATTTATCTAGCACACTGAAATTTAAAACAGTAGACACACTGAAAAATAAAGCGTTTCATTTCTTTGTAAGCAACACATCCAGAGTGGTTTTAACAGAGCTCGCCCTCTTCTCACTGTATACTGTTACATCATACACCTTACGACATGGTGTGAACGTCTTTTCTATGCACTGTCAAACTCCTTTCTTAACATGGATGAACTTCCAACATTTGTTTTCTTTCGCACTTTCATTATTGTGAAATATCTCTAATAAGAGTTCCTTTCTCGCGAAGGTTTTTGCTGGTGTCATTTCCTCTGAGACATCTTCAGCCTTCTCATCACAACCATGTTCCTCATTTCTGTTGATAAATCTGCTTTCACTAAGTTTTTCTGGCTGCAGTGTCTATACTCTATGGTCAGCTACCGCTTCTATACGTCCATTATGCTTGTTTTGAATTTCACTTTCAGTGCTATCATTTTTTTTCATTTATTGGCTGTAGTTTCTTTTTTTTCTTTTCTCTTTTCTTTCTTTCTTTCTTTCTTTTTTTTTTTTTTTAAGACAAAGTCTCTCTCTGAGACCAAGCTAGACTGCAGTGGCATCCTCATAGTTCAGTGCAACTTCAAACTGCTGGGCTCAAGTGATCCTCCTGCCTTAGCCTCCCGAGTAGCAGGGACTACAAGCTCACAGCACCATGCCCGGCTAATTTTTCTATTTTTTGTAGAGATGGGGTCTTGCTCTTGCTCAGGCTGGTCTTGAACTGCTGGCCTCAAGCAATCCCCCTGCCTCTTAGCTGTACTTTCATCTTTGCTGGCCTATTCTCTTTTTAAATGATGCATCCCATGGGTTTATTCCTGGGAGACAAGGAAGCAGCACTGCCTGCTCTGTGGGTGAACGGAATAGCAGATGTTCAGTGACCAGCCAGCAGCAGATTGTAGCAGTGTCATGACTGGCCACTGAGCCCGATGCACACCTGTTACTTGGGTAATGAAGAGCTGGCAGTCGAGATTTTACTTTGTGCAACGTGTTGTTGGGGGCTTGGTGCTATTTGGTAACTGAAATTTGTACTCATCAGAATTATGCAAGTGTTTGTATGTGCTCAGGAGATTTGCTAAAATGTAACCAACTGCTACAATGTGAAATTCAGGATAACAAGAATCTTAGGTCCCACCCAAGGGACTTTGTTTTAAGAGGAAACTTCGTTGACGCTTTCTATTACAACACGACTCACAGACAACATAGTTCTAAGGCTTGAACCAATAAAAAAAAACCACACACACACACACATTACAGTTAAGCAGCCACTACATTTTAGCAAAATGATGTTAGGAAACAAGCCGTGTACTTTAAATGCAGTTATTTGTCGTTGTGTAACTTTTACACTTTAAACCAAATAAAGAAGTCGTATGGAGAAGAACAAAGGTACCCAACTTTCCTGTCCTGCCCTTCTATTTAATAAATACTTCCTGAGAAGATGCCTAAGTAAAATTTCTCAGGCCCCCATCCTATGGCCTGAGTCCCTGGATGGACTTTTCCTTTGACTATTTAGAAACTGCCCTGCAAGGTCGAGGGTAATGGGTGAACTGCTAAGTATTTTCCTCTAAAACTTTTCCTTTTCTTTTTTTATAACGGCCATTGGGACAGAAAAGCTGGAAATACCTTTATATAATCTTCCCTTCCAGTTTGTTCTGAACTCAGGATTTCTAGCGGAGATGCCAAAACAAACCAAGGCGATGAAACCAGCAGCTCGGCTCTTAAAGAGTCAGAAGATGATTGACAATTTAATTCCAGGGCGTAAAAGGATTCCAGAATTTAAGTGCAAGCTGGCAGCATGGCCCTCAACCCTCCAAGATAGGGAACATTTAAATCATTCCTGAAACAGAGCAATCTACTCTTTATTTTAAACGATTTCGATGGATCTGTGTTGATTTGGAAACCTGGCTGAAACAATACTCATCTTATGTAGGAAGTAAGACAATTCTGAGAATTAGGGCTCTTCCTACCTTTCTGATAAGATCTGAGAGCTCCATTTCGGCTTTCTGCTGAGCCAAATCAGATTTCACTTCAGAGTAAGTATCATTGATGATGGCCAAAAACATGTTCTGTTTGTGAAGCAAAGGAGGTTAAAAATTAAAGGAAGGAATCTCAACAGTTTCTGTAAACATCAATCCAAAAATCAAAACAAGCCTTTTTGTGCACCGTTTTCCCCACAATCTGAGTGCTTTATGAAGTTATAGATTAATAGTTTTGCCACCATATTCTCTGGGAAAATTATTTTCACCATTAAGTCGTGCTAAAGGGAAATATAATGTATATTCTTACTTAACAAAACCATATATTGGGATATAGTTTGCAAAGAGATAAGAATGTAATACAACAAAATATTAACATATTTACTTATGAACGGTGAGACTATTCTATTATTTTTGCTTATCTATGTTCTCTCCATTTAAAACATTTTATAGAAATTACTATGGGTGTAGAACTTGAAAAGGCTCTTCAAATTTCAATAGTCAACACAGACAAGTAGAATTCTATGCTTATTCCAAATTTTGTTATATCATCATAATTGAGATTTACAGAACATATTTTAAAGAGTTTAAAAGACCTCTCTGCAAATAGGAATACAGTAGGCCTAGTAGGAAAGATAGCAAAGACAAGCTTTTTGAAAGAGACGTAGACTACCAAGTCATGCAAATTTGGGTTTATGTTGTTTAACTTTTCTAACGTTTAAGATTTATTTATTTGTTTTGCACTGATAAAAATGGGAAACATAATAGTACCTTCCTGACAGATTTGTAGTGAGGGTTAATGAGATAATTTCTGTAAATTGCTTAGGACAGGTCCTAACGCAGGTAACCAGCCTAATTGACAACTACCCAATTACTACTCAGTAATGGTTAGTTCATTTTCCGGACTTTTCCCTCCCCCAGTAGTAATGGTTTGTATTCCCAACACACTTTCTCCAAGCGCTGCACCCAGTAGATTGGGTCCCTTTTTTTTTTACATTCTCTTCTTTTGTTTTTCCTGTTTAGCACGTAACTGTGGTTTGTAATTATAGAGTCGTATATTTGATTACGTCTGTTTTCCCCACAAGTCCATGGACTCTTCATGAGGGCAGGGCTGGTCTCTGTTTTCCTTAACATGGCATCCTCGCTATCTAACACACTGTTTTACAGTGTACACTATACGAGAAATACTAAAGTGCATATTATATACTGTTTATAATATTAAATATATAGGAATATAGTGGTTCAGGAAACATTTATTAAATGATTGATGAACGAACAAATGAGGGCTCTCTTATTTTAATGGGCTACCGAATCTCTATCAGTTAAGGAAGGATACTGTTAAAGATTCTGCAGCAGAAATAAGAATAGGATGAGAAATGGAATTTTACGTAAGTTCTTGGCTAACTGCTCAATATCAAGGGCAGATAATTGCAGCGAGAGTAACATCTTCCACCTTTTCCCTCCCAACCCAGGCATTTCATGTTCTATTTTTGCTTCCTAATGCCTGCAATGGTCTTAGCTGAAATGGAACAGAGGGTGGGTCCTCTCATTTCCTTAAAAGACGGGTTCGCATAGAAAGGCGCCTTCTCCCTATCTATCTCTGGGGGTGCAAGGAGAGCGATTCCTTTCTGTGCAGTAGCATAAAAAAATTATTTTAGTATAAAGGCAAAAACTAAGGGCTTCTTTTCACGTTCTGGTGACTGATCTGATAAGATGACGGAATAATCTGGAAGGTGGTGGTGCCTACAAAAGGACAACATTCAAACAAGTACACGTTCGAGCGTTTCCAATTGCCACACTTCTGTCCTTCATTGGGCAGATTGGTACACTGAGAAATCTAGGTGTCCTGAGGTCAACTGAAGGGTTAGTTGCAGAACTCAATTCCTGGTTTTTGTTTTCTTAGTAGAGATTCAGGTGCTCCAGAATCCAAACTACTACCAGTGTCAGAGAGGAACAAAGGCTTATTCTTCCCGCTATTTTTTTCTTTCATATATGATAGGAAGCAGAAGCTTAAGAGGCTTATGTTTAAAAACTACCATACACGCATACGGCAAGACACGGACATGCATGATATTCCTGACCCTATTAGTCCTATTAACGTGCATCTAACACTCAACCAGTAAATACCATACACTTAACCAGTGATACCTGCACCAGCTTTGGAGATATTACACTGAATTACCCAAAATGTGATTGTTCAACCTTTCACAAAGGATCTTTATAAAATTTATAGAAATGGAAAAAATGTTATTTTCTTAAGATGATTGTTCTAAAGATGATGGTTCATGTTTAAGATAAAGAATACCCACTGCCTAAGTTAACTCAATTTAATAACTTTTCAGTGGACAAATGAATGTACAAAAGTCAAGATGAAAAATGAAATACTTAAAAAAAAAAATTAAGGTAAAAACATTAAAAATGTTAATTTGTACCAAATCAAGAGAATAAAAAAAATATTTTTGAAAATAATTTTTATCTTTAAATTAAGTTTTATTTTCTTGAAAATAATCTTTAAAGCAATTTCCATTTGCTGTTAGAATTAGTGTTAAACTTAATATTTGAATATGCTTTGTAGGCACTCTCTAGATGTCTGAAATATAATTAAGTTAAAACAGTCTCTCTTAATCTTGACATGCAATAACACACTCAACTATTACTTGACATTCTGGACCTCACTTGCTTTGTCAGTTCTTATTTTTTAAAAAGAAGGAAGAGAGAATTGAAAAGTCATGCTAGCGGGTACTTTAAAAGTGCTGATGTGTTAAAAAAGCATGTAAGCATATTCTAGTTTTTAGGTAAAGCACTACTTTAGGTAACTTTATAAATTTGCACTTGATCTAATTTTTTTTTGCATTGAATAGACATATCTATGGATAAATGAAAGACCGTGGAAAAAGATACTTGAGTAAGTCTTCAGACTGAGAATCAATAAGGAAAATAAAATGTTTTCTTTTACTTTTTTTCCCTTCCTCCCTTCCCCCAAATGTTTTCTAATGTTTACATTTTTTTCATGTCCTGGGTCTTTATTTAAAATGACAGGACACAGAGAAAAGAGAAGATGGTGATTTGCGAACATGAAATTTAAATCACCTCACTATAAACAAAAATGATACATACCAAAAGAATGAAGAACATAAAGAACACAAAGGTAGTGAAATAAATTGGTCCCAAAACTCGATTAGCTTCCTCAATCTCTGCAAAGTTGATATCGCCCAAAATGATACGGAATTGAGTGAAGCTATAAAAACAAAACAAAACAAAACAAAACGAAACAAAACAAAACACACAATGTAAAAACAGAGAATGTCTGGCAGTTCAGGTAACATTTCTTAAAGATGATTTTACATTTTTGGACCTTTTTTGCAGCGCAGGTAGCTGCCAAATAATAGAAAACTGTCAAGCCCTTTGGAAAACTGTTGCTACTTATATTGGCAATGGAAGCCTTCTGGAATAATAATAACATGCTTTCACGCTATGTATGTTACTTGGCGTTAAAAAGAAAATATCATTGTTACTCGGTGACTTATAAAGCAATTGGCTATAGGAATTCAGTACACAATCTGGGTAAAACACGGTAACTCTAAATCTTCACAATGGTTACCCTGGGTCTGAAGTTAAAAATCTGTTCAAAGAATAAACATTTCACAAGGATAGCCAAAATGGTTTGTGTTCCAAGATTCGATATTGTCACATGTACTCAAACTGGGCTCAAAGTGACCAGGGGTTGCCAGTGTTGGGTCTTACACAGTAAAATCGTTTCCATTCCTGACTTTTATCAAACAGCAACATTAATTAGGGATCCCTGTGAACAAAGCCCTATGAACTTCCGGGGTCATGATCTTCTTCCCTTTTCCTAACTAATTCCTTTCCAAATGGCAAACAAATCTGATACCGGGTACTTCTTTTTGTTTTGTTTTTAGTATCCTATTTGGGAACTTCGGAAAAAAGAATGAAAATTCCTGTACTGGTCTGAGTTTATCCTAGAATGTAGGAAATACCTTTTTTTTTCTTAGAAAATAACTTGAAGTTCAAAATATATGGCAACAACATTTAACAGGAATAAAAATACAGGCAAATGGCCTTTTAAAAGCTACCATCTGCATTTGGTGCTAAGAAGACCTTGGCCTTTGGATGGTGTTGGTTACTGTAGCTGTTCTGCTGTATCTTACTGCTCCAGCGCTGCTATCATAAGCAACAGCATTTTACAATGTCTTGTCTGTTTTGTATTGGTGGCTCGACGTTTCTGAAAAGGTAATTAATTTTTATTTAAAATAACTATTTTTAAACACCTGGTAGTCAAACAGCGACTGTGAAGATTTCTTTATCCTTGAGAAGGCAGTGACATCTCTGATTACATTGTTCTCCTGCATTTCACACATACTTACATACACTCCTGGAAAGTACTGAAGTCGTCAACCTGAGTGCCGAAGACGAGGTACGCCAACTGGGCATAAGCCAAGAAAATAATGAAGAACATGATAGCAAAGCCGAAGAGGTCTTTGGCACACCGCGACATGGTCGTGGAGAGCTGGCTCATGGTCCTGTTGAAATTGATGAATTTGAAGAGCTGTAAAAGAGAAGGAAGATGTCAGCAGAGAAACGGATACACGAATTGTGGCATATACATATGATATAGAATATCATTCAGTCCTAAAACAAATGAAATTCCGACACACACCGCAACATGGACGAACACTGAAAACATGCTAAGTGAAACAAGCCTGACCCAAAGGACAAACACTGCAGGATTCCACTTATCTGAGGTCCCATGAGTAGTCAATTTCACCTAGACAGGAAGTAGAACAGAGGTGACCAGGGGCTGGGGGTGGGGGGAGAGTTAGTGGTTAAAGGATACAGAGTTTCAGTTTAGATGAGAGAAAGTTCTGGAAACCCATATTACAGACGGTTGCACAACACTGTGAATGTACTTAATGCCACTGAGTTGTACACTTAAAAATGGTTAAGTTTTATGTTATGTATATTTACCACAATAAAAATAAAAGAGAGAGGAGAGAAATGACTGTTTTTTTTTTGGTCAAATCCAGCAACTTCCATTAGGCGCCGTTCTCAGAGCTGGAACGCAGCAGTGAGCAGAGTGAGACTTCTGCTCTCCCGTTGCTTACATTTTACATGATGATTAAAATGCAGTGAAAACAGTTTCATTATAATTAAAATGACTAATGATATTTTTCCCCAAGAAAGGATTAAAATTAAGAGAGATACAAGCCCTCCAAATAAAAACTAAGTTAAAAAACCCAAGCAATTCTCGCTGCATATTATTAACTGTCATTTACGGTGCGCATCAGCTATGCGGGGAGGGCTCCACGTAGACTGCCTCAAATCTCTGCAGTGACTGCAATACTGGCATTCTGTCCCCAGGACAGTGGGGGCTCGGAGCCAGAGGCTGAAGCCAGCTCTGCCTGATTGCAAAACCGTATTTCTGAGCATTTCTGTAGAGAAGGCACCGAGGGCTGTGCGGCTTGTAGCCCAGGGGGTACGACAACCTATGCAGCTCTAGGTAGATGACAGATAGATGACCTCTTACAGCATCGGTTAAACGTGGAGGGATATTAGAAGCTGAGTTATGATCCCTGCCTTGAAGAACTTACTGGTAAAGTGTTGGGTGCAAGATATTTCCAAGAGAAGCACTAAATTAAATACAACAGCCTGAGGCACGTACGGTATGAAAATCTCTAGAATTTTACTTAAAGGTCTCTTATGAATTGTTTCTGGCCACGGTGAAATTTTTTTTGAGGGCTGTAATCACATAATAGAAACCAAATTCATGTGAGATCTTGATTATTATGACTATTTTATCATAAAGATTTGGTGCTTCAGTGATGGTTTCTCTTGAACAAACATGCAACTGAATAAACAGCATGAGAAGTACAGGATGAGGTCTCTCTGTCCTTTGACGAACCTTCCAGGAAGGTGTGAACACCAATTCAGGAAAATATAACCGATGGTAAGTACCTCCTAGGGCAGCGCTGTTTCAGAGAACTTTCTGCGATGATGCAATTGTTCTATATTTCCGCTAAGACACTAGCCACATACAGACACTGAACACATAAAATGTGGCTGGTAGGATTGAGAAAATGAATTTTTAATTGTAGTCCATCTTAATTTTAAATTTAAATGGCCACATGTGGCTTGTGGCTACTGTCTGGACCGCACAATCCTAGAGCCTGGGCTGGTGATGGGCTGGCAGCTGCCTCTGAATTCCTGAAATTTCTTGCATCTCCAGAATTGAGGCTTATTGTACAACCCATGCCCTAACCTTCCATGTACACGGAAACGCACAGTATGCATTGGGACAAGAAGGGAATGAGTGAGCAAGGAACTACTCGAAGAGGTGTGTGTTCCAACCTCGATTCTCGATAAAGCTTCCCTACGGCCTCCACCTGGGAAGGAGGCAGTCCCTTCTAGGGATCGTTTCCAAGTGCAGCATCTCTCCCTCTCACCACCTGATCCTTCCTCCGCTTTCTCTTACTTTCTCGTCCTCCGCCTGATCACCCCACAAGGTGAAATTCAGACCAGCCTGGGGCCCCAGGCCCAGTAAACGTACGGAAAGTCCTCCCGCTGCACCAGTTAAACAAAACCTACAGGGACGGATCGTGCAAGAATTCAGATCGCGGGAGAAGCAGCATTAGTCACAGCGACGGGAGTGATCCCATGAGTCTGACTAGTTTCCTTTGCATGTAAAACGTGGAGCAGCTTTGGCCAATCAGCTGAATTTCAAATTCAAGTCCTTCGCCATTTTGGGGGACTCGAGCTCATAAAAAGAAAGAAAGAAATAGTACTAAAAATCTAGAACATGAAATTTATAAATTACCTTAATCCAGACAAAAAAGACCGTGACAGCAGCTATATTGCTGAACTGTATTTGCCAGTACGCCAGATGCTCGAAGTTGGGGAAAGTATTTTGATCGTCCAGAAACTGTAGTAGGGCCTCCTCATTTGATGTTCTGTATATGTTAATTCCTATGGCTAATACTGATAGCTGGAAAACAAAAGATTTATAGTTCATTACAGTGTCTTAGAAATATATAACTCACCTTAAAATAACTAGTTTTTCTCCACCAATGTATTAATTCTAGGGCTGCCTGTTATACTCACCCAATGTCGTCAGTGTTCGTTCACTCACATATGAATAACATATTTTCTATATTTTATAAGCTAACTCTAGTGGCAAATGGTTTGCTAATGACAATGGAAATGCTTCAAAAAAGTAAAACACATTTTTAAGAGTGGGACGAGGACAAGACTAATTCCCTTGAGGAAGGCTAATAGAAAAGGCAATGCTAACAGGGCAATGCAGCATTTACTGGGATTTGGGAGGGTCATTTCTATCGTAGGACACTGGGAAGGACAGACACAGAATAATACACGGTACAGCGATGCCAATCGAAACTTCTAAGCATGGAACAACTAAGCATGTTCTATGCTTAAACGTATACCAGGACTTAGAAAATAATTAATAACACAGAAGTTGATATAATCAAAGGGAACTTTTCGATACGTTTTTGGGAATATCAAGATCCACAATGCTGAGGTTATAGACTCTACTTAACATGCTTTAGAACAGAGTAGGGAATTTGGTGTCGTTCTCAAACCTACCACAATGATCACAACATCCAGACAATTCCAGAAACTCCTGAAATAGTGTAGTTTGTGAATGCGAATTTCCAATATCTCTTCCACCGCATAATAAAGGATAAAGAAACAAAAGATAATCTCACAGGCTGCCAGGAAGAAATCAAAAGTTGTGACATATCGGATCAGCTTTACTGGCTGAAATTGCCAAGATGGAATCACACCGCCTGTTGCTGGGAATTCAACCAATAACCTGCGTTGCAATAAGAACAATTAAAACGATAACAACAACACATGGATGTAGCCAGGAAAGATGTCCATCTATTCTGTCCCCGCACTATAATGTAATACAACCGCTACCGTGAGCCACCCTAAACTAGTGGCAAAACATTTTTATCACAGCTAGTAACTCCATGCTTGTACAATTTTGTGCTACAAAAGGAATGAGACTTTCCAAGGTCTTTTAGCCCAAAAGGAATTACTTCCTTCTGTCTTCCCTCTACTTTTCTGGTATTTATACTGCTTGAAATGTTGTATAATTTTTTTTTTGGAGACAGAGTCTGGCTCTGTTGCCCGGGCTAGAGTGCCGTGGCGTCAGCTTAGCTCACAGCAACCTCAAACTCCTGGGCTCAAGCGATCCTCCTGCCTCAGCCTCCCAAGTAGCTGGGACTACAGGCATGCGCCACCATGCCCGGCTAATTTTTTCTATATATTTTGAGTTGTCCAGCTAATTTCTTTCTACTTTTAGTAGAGACGGGGGTCTTGCTCTTGCTCAGGCTGGTTTCGAACTCCTGAGCTCAAAGGATCTGCCTGCCTTGGCCTCCCAGAGTGCTAGGATTATAGGCGTGAGCCACCGTGCCCGGCTGAAATGTTGTATAATTTTTTTTAAACATAAAAGCTAATCAACAAACAAGCCTTTCTAGGACTTCTACCAAATGCAAAGCCTTCTATCGGGCAACATAAAGAACACAAAGAAATACAAGCCATGCACTCAAAACACGTATGATCTGATTGAGAAGTAGGATATACGTTTCGTACATATACAAAGACAGAAACTGAGTCTCTCATTCATTCACTAGGTAACAGCTAACTAGCGTTGAACAGTCTAAACACTTTTTGCCCCCTTCCCAGAGCCTTATAGATAATTGGCAGGTACTCAGTACATGTCTGATTGCCTGAGACCGTAATGTACACTGTTTAACATTCATACTGATGGCACTGATCTTTCGTGCTTTATCATAATTAAATTGAGGACTTTTTTCTTGCCAAATCCCCGTTTTGTAGGAGTTACACTGACAAAGTTGAGTGAGTCATTGAATGCTACAGTCTTCCCATGTAACTAGAAAGGGTATCTCTAGCTCCTTAATTTTAAGCCCTTTGGAAGCCCCTGCGTCAGCTCCCAGCCATGACTGTCTCTCCCATGACACGGTGGGCAGCCGTGCCTCGGACCTGCGCACCCCTACAGGCAGGGACTGCGCCAAACGAAAACAGGTCAGAGAAATGGGAAAATTCTTCCTCTCTCTTCATTGTCAATCCTGCTGTTCTTTCTCTCCTATTCGATGTGCCGGAGAGGAGCGAGGAGAACCAAAAACTCAGGAGAGCATCTCCGAAGTGAAGAGCCTCCTGCGTGACAGCCTCACGGGGGACTCAAGAGGGAAGGAAGTGGCCCCTGTGTGTGGTCACCTCTCTCTGGTGCGTTCCGGCCCTTTGTGTGTCAACTGCTGCCAGAAACTCGGAACACGGCGCAGGGAAATTGAAGTAACTGCGTTGACATTGTTCATCCTTGCAGTGTGGGGAGGGCGCGAAAGAAATGCTGAGACTTTCTATAAATAGTATGTACTTGTCAGTCGGAGTGGCCTGCCGCTGTTTATCCTACTCTTTTTCTTGTCCCTGGAATCATTAGGAAAAACTCAACAATAACTGCAATCGATTTGCATTCATTTCTAGTAATAACTACTACAGGTTGAGTATCCCTACCCAGAATATCTGAAATCTGAAATGCTCCAAAATCCAAAACTTTTTGAGCACCGACAGGATGTCACAAATGGAAAATTCTACATCTGACCTCACAGGATGGGTGACAGTCAGAACGCAGGTGCACAACACACGGTTTATTCTGCGTTCCCAAGGGAAAAATAAAATGACCTCTGAGCTCCGTGTATAAGGCGTGTAGAAACATAAATGAATTTCGTGTTTAGATATCTCATCCCCAGGATATCTCATTATATATGTGCGAGTATTCCAAAATCTGAAAAAATCTGAAAATCTCAAACACTTCCGGTCCCAAGTATTTTGAATAAGGGACACTCGACCTGTAATTGATTTAATGTGGTATTATTTTCTGCAAAAGTTGTTAAATACGGGGTCTGGCAAAATCCAACTGGCCATGTCAAGTATAAAGTAGAATTGAGTTTAATCTCAAGAATGATGACAAAGTAAGAGAATTATGAGAATATACCTTTCTTACTTTGTGTGTAAATATTGTAGGTAATTCATGCCGGTGATGCACACATTTCTTTTATTATCTATTGTCTCTTGTCTATCTCCTCCTGGTTGGATGCAAGCTCTACAAGGGCAGGGATCTTTGTCTGGTTCACTGATGTGTCCCAAGATCCTAGAATAGTGCCTGACACATACTAAGTGTCCAATAAATGTTTGCTGAATGAATACATGAACAAGAGGCCCAGATAAGCCACTGGCATTTTTGCCACTTTCCTTACTGTCTCCCAGAGTGGTCACGACAGCAACATCACAGGATGTGTGGAAGGGACATTCTGTGCCTCTGGTAGCTCTGGGCATGAGCAGGCACCTGGGTACCTGCTGAACACGGGGCGGGCCACCGTGCTTGTGTTTTGCTAGCAGGGACATCGTCTGAAAGTGGGCAACTCAGAGCGATGAGTCAAGAGTTGATGGCCGGGCTGCCTGGTGAGGAAGCAGGTAGCACCGATCGTCCTTACAGTGGGAGAGGACAGATGCTAGAAAAACACAGGGCTTCTTCTGGAAAGGTTCTAGCACTGGGATGAACTTGGACAAGACGTAAGGTTCTTTCTAACTTGTAATATTCTATCTCGGATCCTAACTCCCTTCCCCAAATATCCTTATCCTAATAAGGCTTCAGTGTTCGCCTCTCTTGCTGTCAGTCCGGACCCCTGGCACCCTCGTTAAGCCAAATGCAGGCCAAGGTCCTCTGCCCTGTCTCCAGAACAGGACGTACACACAGCGACCCGCAAACGGGACGGATGCGCGCCCGACACACACCTGACCACGCAGAACAGGTTAACGTTGGCGTTGTACACCGAAAAGTCAATGAACGTTGCCCGGGTTCCTCGGTCCAACCAGACGTTTTTCCTGAGGCTAGCAACCTGGGCAGCCGCTTCCTCTCTCGTTCTCGACAAATCCAGGTAATAGCCAGCGCCGCTGTAGGTCGCGATGACTCCCCAGTGGCTGCTCCCATTCAGGTCTTTCTCACTTGTGTAGATCCAACTAAATAAAACACAAAAACAAACAACAATTAAGTAAAATCAGCGGTACGCTTGTGGCAGTTATCCTGGTGAGACAGAGTATGTCATAAGTCTTACTGAGCTGGGGAATGTGTTTGACATGGAACTTCATAAGTTTTTTTTTTTTTTAATTTAATTCTCATACACTCATTAGCCCCGTTTTAGGAACAAGGGCCCTGAGGCTTAGTGAGGTCAACTTAGTCCCAAAACTTTTTTTTTTTTTTTTTTTTTTTAGAGACAGTGTCTTGCTATGTTGTCCAGGCTGGTCTTGAACTCCTAATGCCTCACCCTCCCAAAGTGCAGAGATGACAGGGTGAGCCACCACGCCCGCCCTTGAAGAGAAAGTTTGTGAGAGGCACAGAACAGGGTTGCTCTGGTGGCAGCAGGGAAGACGGGAGCGAGGAGGAACAGGAGACTCGTGCAGAAAAGAGTTCACGCAGCAGGCAGCAGACGGCCTTTCCCCAGGAAGGTCCGCTTGCAGGGTTGGCCTCTGCCGGCATCTGGGCCACGTGGGTCTTTGATTTAGCCTTTTGAAAAATACGCACATGGAAACCGGAAGGGGCTTAAACAGCAGAGAAACCACAAGTCACTTTGGCCCTGGTTAAAATACAAGCACTGAAGAGTCACTGAAGGCGTCTTCTCTTTGGTGACGCTGTCAGGGAACGAATGAATGAATGTGACCAAGTGGCCAGGAGTCACTGATACTTACGCCGTTCCATTTCGTGGCCCAAACGGAGCCCTGTCCTCACTGCTGACAGAGTAGACGTCGTAGCACTCTTTAATCTCATCTCTCAAGTCCTGGGGGATGGAACAGGATCCGTTTCTGACTTTGAGCTGCCGTATGCGCGGGACCCCGAGCAGCAGGTTCTCGTAGAAGATGAAGCTTCGGTTGTCGGCCTCGGTCTGGTTGCTGGGCTGCATCTTCCAGTACAGGCCGTCCAGCAAGGCGCCTTCCGTGAACTGAAAGCAAAGGGAAGATCTTTTAAAAGTTCCGAGCTCAGCAGATGTCTGGCTCCTGCCTGCAATGTTGGAACGACCAAGAGTTTGGCAACTCTATGGAGAGGGCAGCGTGATAAGAGTGGGTTTTGTTGTCAGAGAGATTTGGGTTTGGATTTTGCTCCGTCACTTGCTGGTTGTGAGGCCTTGAGCGGGACCCTCTGAGCCAAATTTCATGCATTTGGAAAACCCATCTTTGCATGCTTACTGCACCTGGCACACAGTGGGTACTTAATCAATAGCAACTCATTTTGGTTCTAGGACTAGAGGTGGGGTGGTGGTTGTATAAATGCAAGACCATGATCAACTCCACTTTCCCTTATTAAAATAGCATCCCACGTAATCATGGCTCCGAACACGTTTCTAGAAAAGGCTACAGTGTTGATTACCAGCCTGCCATCTAGTGGATCTTTTATTTGTCCGGACTGTTTTGCTGTATGATGAATTCTCCAACCTCTCTCTGCCCCTTAGAGCTTGGCATTTATTATCACGGAGTGTGTATAAGTGAGAAGTCTCTTGTTTGCACAACCGCTCTAGGGAAAGCAGATCTAGCTATTTCTCAGTGCGCTGTCCTTATCAGATGATCAGTAGAGATCGACTGATTTGGCCCACCAAGGTGGTAAAGATTCATACACGAGTGGTTTTGGATGCCAGCTACTTTTACACATTAATAGGTTTCTATGACCCAGTTTTCTCTATCCCTAAAATCAACAGCTCTGATTCCAGGGTTTAGTAAGAATTTTAGAAAGCATCTCCCCAGGGAGAAATAATCATTTCCTTTCCAAATTTCCCTTCCAATTTTCTTAGATTCCAAGCACTGTATCTTTCAGATCGGGTTAATATTTTTCCTATGATATTCCTCACGGCTTACGCCCTGCCACTATGTTGGAATTTGTGACAATCTGGAAATGCTGGGTTGAATTTCACAAAAGCAGACCTTTGAAAGAACGTGTCTACTTTCTATCCGGCGCTGTTCTAGGAGCTGGGGACACACGCCATCATCAGCAAAGGGACGAAACACAAAAAGCGAAGCAAGACAGAACAACCAAACTTCCCTCATGGGCCTTACGTTCTCAGAGGTTCTCAACAAATATTGAATCATGAATGAATGAATGAATTACAAACTAGGATGAAGAAGTGGTTGCCAGGCTAGAAAAAAGGTCCATTTTTCTCATTCTCGGCCATGTGACCATATGCATTTAAGCATCCTGAATCTCGCTGTCCTCATTAACAACCGAGGCATACCATTAGTACTTACCTTGTAAGATTACTGTGGGGATTAAATAAGGTCTAAGGTATGAAACACTCAGCACGGTGCCAGGCACATGCGAGGCTCTCAGCAAATGCCAGTTTACCCTTCTGTGAGAGCAGGGCCAGTAACTTCCAACGGCTCACCATAACTTACGACATCTCGCACAGCGGTTACACACAGCACCCTGCGGATACTCGTGCGTTCAACTTACGAAGCCACATGAACAACTTTCAGCGATCAGGAGGTAGTTTCAAAGTCATTTGCAAATACCTTCCAGAAGTCTTCCATTGAAGACAGAGTTTTAAAGGTAGTTTTCTCGGTTTTGGACACTGGGGTGTCTAGGAAGAGCTGTGACATCATCCGGGTGTAGTAGTACACGTTGGAGCTCATCATGCCATAGGTCACTGGAACACAGAAAGATCCAAATGAATTCCACAAGGGACCTGCACACACAGTCACCCAGCCAACAGCCTTCACAAAGGGACTGTCCTGGTGGGTGGGCATTTTGGACAAATATCCACACAAGGTCTTCTCTCACCCTTGCCTTCCTTCCCCCACCATTCTTCTGCCTATCTCTCTAGCTTATGCAAAAAATACATAACGTTAACATTGGCTTATGTGAAACAAACTTAGCTTACTTTTTTTTTTTGAAAGAGACGGGGTCTTGTTCTGTTACCTAGTTTGGAGTGCAGTGGCCCCATCATAGCTCACTGCAGCCTCGAACTCCTGGGCACAAGTGTTTCTCCCATCTCGGCCTCCTGAGTACCTGGGACTACAGGCACACGCCACCAAGCCCGACTAATTTTTTAAAAATTATTTGTAGAGACAGAGTCTCGCTATGTTGCCCAGGCTGGTCTTGAGCTCCTGGTCTCAAGCAATCCTCCTGTCTTGGCCTCCCGAAGCGCTGGATTACAGGTGTCAGCCACTGTGGCTGGCCCACAGTTGGCTTACTATTGAGGATCAAATTTAGAGCAACCACTTTGACTTGACATTTGGAGCTTCCCACAATGCCTGCTCATTTCCCGCGGCCTCCCGGATGAGACCCTGCGTGCCAGCCGGGCTGATCTGCCCAGGCCCCTCATCCCACGGCTGTGCACAAGCTGTCACTGTCCCTGCAGTGACACGAGCAGGCCATTCTTGGCCTCCTCATCATCAATTCTCCGTTTTTCTCTGGTCTGCTCTGTGCCCCAACGATGACTTTGATGGACTATACTACCTGGGATCTTTGCCTTTTGGGGGTCAGAGGAGAGACAGGTCAAGTGTGTCCCCTCTACCTCTGGCTCCATTCCCTGACCACCTGGATGCCATTTGGCACTGGATCCTCTAACTCTGGCCAGAGCTACTGGGCACATTTCTTTTCCCACAGCCACACTGGGTTCATGCCATGCCATTCCCTCCTCTGATCCCCGCCAGCCTGGCGGTGGTAACCTTTCCCGAGTGCCTCACCTCCCCTTGGAGGTTCTCTTAACCCTGATGCATCTCTGTAAATACTCCCTTCACTGAACTTCCTTTAATTACCGGCTGAGTTTACCATCTCTTTCCTTCCGGGATGCCAACTGTACAGACATCCCGCCTCCCACCTGCAATCGAGCCTTGCAGGGAACCCTCTACGTCAAGCCACGTCCCTGCCATGAACATCTGCTGATTGCATTAAATGGCAAGAAGATAATTTATTAAACTTATGAGGTCAAAGGAGATAGGGTTTGACTCTTAGCCATGCCCCTTACTTGCTATGTGATCGTGCAATTGCTTAAGTTTTCTGAGCTTGTTCCCTCTCCTGTAAAGATGGGGATAATTAATTAGCTGTTCCATCAGCTTTCTGGGTGCTTAAATAAATGCAGTAACTAAAATTAATCCAGTACAGTGACTGACACTTAACAAATGTCCAGATGTCCAATAATACACACAACTTGCGTACTGTAGCTAGAGGGGTGTGAATGATGTCCCCCTCGTTAGGCTCCCTCGCCTGTCACGCTATGACCCAATTAGGACAAGAACAGTCCCCTTCAAGGGTTACATGACCTGCCACCTCTCAGAACTGTACTGGACCAGAGTTAAGGGTTTAGAGTTCTAATCCATTCACATTTACAGGACAAGGTATTGGTCACGCAGGTGAGGAAGATGTGATCTCTGTCCTTAAGAAAGTGTAGTTCATGCTGTCCCCACAAGGCACAGACACGGGGACAATACTCTCTGCAAAAGCCTTCGGCAAATCCAGGGTCAATCGAGGGGAAAAAGTGACAGGATACAAAAAGAATAAGTAGTGACGGTTCTCAAAACCAATGAAACAAGTAAGTTGATTATTTTCAGTTAACTTGAAATTAGAATGTACTTTGCATTAATACAGACCATTCTGGAGTTTTTACCTGTGGGTTTGTTGTTGCCATTAGGAATTTTGATAAATTATTTAAACGTTTTGATTTACAAAGATGGTATTAACTATACATAAGAATGTAAATACCAGTATTTTAGTAACCGATGTGAAAATGTATCTCCTTTAGTTTCCTATAGTGCTCATGATCTAATATTATTAATTACTGCTTTTGAAATCCTCAAGATTTCTGTTGTTGGCTTTAATGGCTTCCCTAAAAGGAAAGCGACAGATTCCCTTGGTTATGTAGCACCCCCTGCTGGAAAGACAGAGAAACAACGCCTCCTAGCTTTGAAGGGGTGATTATTGTAACAGACCTTTAATCAGCAAGCATTAACTCAGTCCTTCTCCTGCGCCAGGCCCTGGGCTGGTCCCCTGGACATCTGAATGACAGCTGTACCCATTGCAAGAGTCAGCTACACCATATGAGTCCATGCAGGTTGCGGCTAAAAGACCCCTGGATTTGGAGTGAGAATGATTTGGGTTTGAGTTTCAGCTTTGCTCCATCCTGAATATCTGCCTCTGTGCATGATTGTGGGTCTTGGTGTCTTGGGATCTTGGGATCTAGGACAACTACTTAACTCTTCCAAACTTGATTCTGTCATCTAGAAAATGAGAATAATAACATCTAGGGCTTTTGTAAAGCTCAACTGAAGAAATGTATGTGAAGACATTTGCACCCTGAAAATGTCAAACTGCTTACATGACTTCCTTTCAGTTCCCAGTGGAGAAAGCTCACTTGGGAGGTAGCATTCCCTCTCCCTACATGAAATGAGTTGTGAAGAAAAAAACTACACCTGAAATAGATAACCTTAAATGAGGACCGGAAAGGAGATGAGAATATCAAAAAACACAAGGTAAAGGACACATATGTATCCTGTGTTCACATATTTCTTCTGCTATTCAGCCCTCGTCTTAACCCCTGAATTTCCATTTCCCACAATGGAAATAAACCAGAACAAAATATACCAGAACAGGGTGTCAGCAAACCACCAGTATGTAGACTAACAAAAGCTGCCTTAAGATCGTGGTCTATCATTTCAAAAGTGCCAATGAAGACTATTTGATTCTTAATATTGTTGAAAAATATAGGTTCAAATATTAAAAACAAAGGGTATTTAGAATCATATCTAGTGTATAAATTCCAAATCCCGAGGATAAAAGAAGCAAAGAAAAAATTTTCTAGTCTAACAAGAAAAAGAAAAATGAAAAATAACAGGAAAGTATTCAAAAGAGAGAAAACAGAAGATGAAAGAAATTTGATAAGACATGAAATGTGGATGGCTTAAACTCTTACTATAGGACAAAGTTTTCAATATTGGCCAAAAAAATGAAAAACGCATCTCTACCATTCTTATAAGAAACTCGAAATAAAGTTAAAAAATAATTGAATGAGAAGACGTATCCATGACAAAATATTTTTTAAAAGGCGTTGAGTGGTATTGTAATCATCAGACAGAGGAAGTTATATGCGAATACTGAGTGTGATTAAAAAGTTACTCATATTGATAAATGATACCATACACAATGATTTCACTATAATGAATTCTTATGTATTAAAGAATAGAGCAAGAAATACAGAGCAATACCTGCCAGTGATATAAGGAGAATCGCTACAACTACAATTCTAATAGGAAACTTAACCCTGTATCTCTCAATCTTTGACGGAGAAAGACACAAATTACCTAGGAACATTAAGGGCTTGACCTGAATATATGACTCTCCTCTAAAACAGATCACGCACATTCTTTTTCAAATATCCATGGATTCCAGGTCACCTGTCACAAAGTGAAGCCATCACTCTGCACAGGAAACTCTTACCACACCACAGCCTTACAAGGATGCAGTGAAGATAGATAAGGACATATATTTGAATGGATTCTATAAACTGAAAACGCTACACAGATGTGCCCCAACTTACAACGGGGCTAGGTCATGATAAACCCATCATAAGTTGAAAATACTGCAAATCAAAATCACAGGTATCATAGCTTAGCCTAGCCTACCCTGAACGTGCTCAGAACACACCCGTTAGCCTGCAGTCGGGCAAAATCATCCAACACAAAGCCTATTTTATGATGAAGTGCTGAAGGTCTCATGTAAGACTATCGTATCACATGTTGCTAGCTCAGAAAAAGATCAAAATTCAAGATTCAAAGTAAGGATTCTGTTGAATGCATTATGATTTTCACACCATGGTGAAGCTGAAAAGTCGTTAACTGGAACCACGGTTAAATGCAAAGCACTCTACAAAAATCAAAGAGTCGTGAGGCTTGAACTGGCTTAGTGGTCATACTAGGAAGAATTCTGTGCATTAGTAAATGAGACGGATGAGTGGACAAGAGAGAGAATGGAAATGGGAACGTCACCAACATTTAGTGACAATCTCTCCCTGTCCAAACTCACTGGGTGCTTACTAGTATTATTAAAAACCAGTGTGCGGAGATGACACAAATCGATATTTAATTTATTAAAATTACAAATATAGAAACGTAAATGTTTCCTTTATCTTTTACAACTTACGAATCTTATTTTCAGAAATCTAGTAAATTTAAAAAATTATTTTTAAGGAAGCTTTTAGGACTTAGTCGATTAAATTCAAGGCAGTCAGTGTTAACGTAATAAGAATGGCATCGTTAAAGTATTGATGAAATTTTCATTCTCTCCTTGTACAAAAAAAGGGGCTTCTTTCCAAAGCTGCTGTTAATTTTTAAACATTTCTAAGTGTCCACTGTAATAAACTCCTTTGTCAGAGGAATTTGGTTAGAGGACCTGGGCTCATAAATCTGCTTTCTTATCTGTTCTCATAAAGGCTCTCTAGGGGACGTGACGAATTCATCACACAACAGCCTTTGATTTGGAGGATAAATCTATCGCTGTGACTTTCTGGACTTTTGAGGCAAATGGTTCTTAAGACTAGTTTCTGGCTCAGGCTTCCCTCCTCTCCCCCTATAAGAGGTTGCAGGGACAAACTGAAAGAAGGGAGGACGAGGAAAGAGATGGGTCTATAGTAAGTTTGCTGTAGACTAAAAGGCTGCGATTACTGAAGATTTGGAAGAAATAATGAATTAGAACGAAGGCATTGACACAACATATCCAAATCCAAAGGAAGGGGACTTTTTAATTTTTTACTTTATTTTTTTTTTTGAGATAGGGTCTCTCTCTGTCGCTTGGACTAGAGTACAGAGGTGTCATTATAGCTCATTGCAACCTCAAGCTCCTGGGCTCAAGTGATCCTCCTGGCTCAGCCCCCCAAGTAGCTGGGACTATTGGCATGCACCACCATGCCCGGCAAATTTTTCAATTTTTTGCAAAGACAGGGTTTCACTATGGTCCCCAGGCTTGTCTCGAACTCCTGGCCTCAAGCAGTCCTCCTGCCTCAGCCTCCCAGAGTGCTAGGATTACAGGCGAGAGCCAACGTGCCCTCCAGAAGGGGACTTTTAAATATATACATCAATAAAAGCAACATTAGGTGGAAACATTTGTATTTCCTGAAAGTTAAACCTGGATAGGGTCCACTTTCTTTTAATTATGATTTTGACAGGTCAAACATTTTCAAAACTTTTCCATTAGTGGAAGAAAATATTCTACTTACAGATGCACAAGACTATGAGAAAAAGGAGGTATGTGACCAGTTCCCGTAAAACGCTTTTAAGGTATTTCTCTCGGTCAGTGTTGCTTTCTTCCATGAGTCTTGTTCCCCAGAGACCTTGAAAATAATAACGAAAACAAAAATGTCATTTTATTTAAGAAATCTCATGAATGGCAAAAGGAAAAAAAAATATATAAACTAAATGGTGTCAACTGTAAGGGAGATTTTCTTTTTTGCTTGCTTTCTTTCTTTTTTTTTAAAGCACATTCTGAATGCAACTGGGAAACTGGTTTAGCAGGACTACCTTTTATTTAAGAATATATCAGGCTCTATTGTTCCCCCAAAAGTACAGAACACAAGGCAGGGATCCAACTGTTTTCTAAATTCCCATGCCCATGAGCAAATGTCTTAGTAAAAAGTGAGAAAGAGAACAGGAAGTGAGGGCAGCCTAACAAAGGAGTTAAGTCATTGTGCATAACTCATCAGTTCTTCCTGTTTAATGGGGGATACGACCTGGTGTGATTACCCTACTACTAAACCCAGTTAAGTACGTGACCTGACTACGTTGCAAATGATTCCTTTTAGGTCACCCTGATGACAAGAGGTCCTGGTTGGAGCATCATTTCAATATGGACACATCTATCATGCTTCTAACACACTGGCATAAACGTTCTGCTCTGTACGAGCAGAAAACTTTAAGAAACTGTTACACTAAGCCTGCTTAGATCAACAGGTTTTTAAAATTAACGTATAATCATTAAAAGCAACAACTCATCCAACTTCTTTCTCTCTCTTTGCAAAAAGAGCAGAATCAGCAACTGTGCTGTACATTTTCCCAGATGGAAAAAGTGTTGGGCTGGCTGAAGGAAGGTGACGTCACCCTCCGTGAGCTTGTTGGGGGGAGAGACCTCAGTTCTGGACTCAGCCAAGCACACAGACATGGTGGCCGTCCAAGCCCCGTTAATGAACAGTGTGGTCAAGTCACATGGCTGGTTACTTGGAAGAACCTTAAGGTTTTCCAAAAAAGACAAACTCCTCAATCCTTTCAGTTAGATGAGATCGGCTGTTAATGGAAACCAACCTGGCCTCACACTTTTATGCCACAGACCTTAACTCCCTCAATAATGGAAACTCACACAGCCACCGAAGCCACCATCAAGCCACATAGAGAAAAGGGAAAAATAGGACACGGTCTTTCACCTCGAAGAAATGAGTTCATCACTAGCGTGTGTGTATTTTTAAAGTCTTATAATAATATATTAGTTCTCCTAAATTTGGGTATTTCATTTCCTTTCCTTTTTTCTCCCAAATTTCCTTTAGGAAAGGCAGCATTGGAATTCAAAGACACCGCGTTACACATCGTAGGTTTCCCCATGCTGAGAGCAGAGCGAAACTTATGACCAGGTTTGCCTCTGCCAAGATCTGGTAGTTGTCAGGGAATTACTCACTCGAAAGAAATGCAGCAAGCACAATGTTTGTTTGCAGAAACTCTATCATATTAAAGAATTATTATCAATTTAGACGACATGGAAAATTACGACTCAGAATAACACAGAGGCAGCCAGAGATTAGGCTGAATAGCCGTGGACTCAACCACACCATTTCTTTGGGTAGATTTCTTTTGGAGGCCGGGCCTGGAATATACATGTCAGTAGAGCCGGCTGGTCTATTTACGACCAGGGAAGACTGTTGCCCTGGCTCACTTGGTCAATGATTTCATTCTTTCCCATGATTTATAAACAACTATGCACTAAGGGAACAGTCATGGTCCTTAATATTTATAAATGGTATTGCTTGGCCTATAAATAGGAAAAACAAACTCCTATCAAATTTTATTGAAACTAAACTTGCATTGGCCTATGGCAATTTAATTCTAGTTCTTGCATAAAACATTTCAAAGAAAAAAAAACAAGTCCCTTTATTTATATTTTCATATAATATACTTCCATGTGTTTATTTTTTCTAAATGACTATTTCCTCAAATATTTATTGCTTTGAAGATTTCGTCCCATTTCCCACTGGGTATGTATGTTACGCTTGATCTTGGGAGACAGGGACCTCTATATTCTGATGGGTAAGAAATGGCTGCATCCATAAACAGGAAAAATAGCTGTCCTGGAGCCAACTACTTCCCGTGTTTGGCAGAGCTGATAGGGTAAGAACAGTTAGGCACGGAGCTCATGTCCAAAGTAGTGGCATCTGCAAAATCTACTGTTGTCTTGTCCCACAACTGTCCCGGATGTGGTGGGAGAACCCTCCCAGCATTCCAGGCACTCGTGTTCAGTACAACAGTGTCTCCAGCTGTTAGGGAGAACTTGGAATGTGGGGGCCACTGGACAGCTATCCAGCTTTCTTTAAGACGGTGCTCAGCTAATGCCAGAACACAAATCCAAAGCACAACATCTGAATGCACAATGTTACTTCTCAGTATGAATATAGGGGGACAACGGGATGGATAACCAAAAACAACGACATCCCAAACATACATACAGGGTGCCCCGAAAGTCACCATATACAGGGAAAATGTGAAATTGTAGTTAAATGCATCTTTATTTACAAAATATTCATTATAAAATTTTTCCTTTCAATGGAGACTTTTAGGACACCCTGTAGTTGACTTTGAACAGAAATGCCATTTCCCTAACTATTTTATCTCAATGCTTTCAAGAACTTTTGATTTTGGAAACTATCAAAAATACCGCAAAGAGAGAATGATATAATGAACTCTTATATATCTATCTCCCAGCTCCAACAACTATCAACTCAAAGCCAACCTTGATTCTTCTAAGCCCTCACCCATTCCTCCTCAATTATTTCGAAACTAATCCCAGTTACTGCATCTCTTCATCTGTAAATATTTCAGTTCCATGTTCAAAAGGTGCAGTGTGGATCTTTTGTCTCACACTAACCAGGTAAAGACTCAAATAATGTAAAGACTCAAATCCATTTCATTGCAAATAGTCGGACCAAATTCTCAGCACATTTGTATCATAAAAGAATCTTTTTGTGCCTAAGACACACGTGGACCTTGTTTGGAAAGATGAGTACAATCCTTCCTAATATTTGTTTGAATTGCGGGGACACCCTAAGAAAGGGAAGTGCCTTTGTACGACGATGGCCCGTTTTCTACAGAATGGTCAGTGTGACCGTACATGGCAATGACTCCTGGATCTTGAATTCTTGGTCAGCCTTCTCCACGGTGCTAATCGTCAGTCCTGCCTGCACATCACGCAGACGGCTCACACTCGCATGCCCCAAAAAGCTTTTCTTTTTCTTTCTCTAGAAACATATTCTTCTGGTTTGGGTTAATGGTACCAAAACAGAAATTCTGGTTTCACCCAGAAGAGGCCCTTTTATAATCACTCCCATGGAGTTGGTTCCACAGTTCTGATGGATTCAGCCTCACTCCCCTCCTTCCCAGCTCAGGTGCTTGGCTGCACCCTCATTACCCCTCCCGCTCTCATCAGCCCCCCACCTAGTCTCTCAGCCCCCAGGGCTTTCCACCCCCACCCATGCTCTCCGTTCTCGCCCATCCTCTCCGTTCTCGCCCATCCTCTCCATTCCCCCCATCCTCTCCGTTCTCCCCATCCATTTCCCCCATCCTCTCCGTTCTCCCCATCCTCCCCATCCTCTCTGTTCTCGCCCATCCTCTCTGTTCTCCCCATCCTCTCCATTCTCCCCATCCTCTCCATTCTCCCCATCCTCTCCGTTCTCCCCATCCTCTCCATTCTCCCCATCTCCTCTCCGTTCTCCCCATCCTCCCCATCCTCCCCATCCTCTCCATTCTTGCCCATCCTCTCCGTTCTCCCCATCCTCTCCATTCTCCCCATCCTCTCCATTCTCCCCATCCTCTCCATTCTCCCCATCCTCTCCATTCTTGCAAGAGTCATGGCCAGACTGACGTATGAGCCTACCAGCCCCATGCTTGAAGTGCCCGCTGCCTCCAACTGCCTACAGGAGAAAGTACCAATTCCACAGCGTTGGTTACAAGTTTGTGTGGTCTTGCTCCTGCTGTTTCTCCCTCCTTGAATTCCCCCCTCCTTCTTCAAGATGTAGCTCCCATTTCACTCCCTCTGGAAGCCTTCTCTGACCTCTCCAGGTACAGCTGATCCTCTCTTCTTTGGGTCCCTCCCATTCCTGGCGCTGCAATTCCTTACACACCTCTGTTTCCCCTACTGAACTCCTTGAAAGGTGGGACCTTGTATTATCCATCTCTGTATCTTAGTACCTACCACAAAGGAGATTCTTAATAAATGTTTGTTGACTGCGTGAATTCTGTTATAAAAATAACCTTATCCTAAGCCCCAAAGCGTAGCAACTCTCCCTCAAAAAAATCCCCACAGCCATGAAACTATGAAATCTCATTTGTTCAAAATTATGGTGCGAATAAAAAAGGAAAAGGAAGAAGTGATGGACTAAGGTTTGAATTAAAAGGGAAGGTGACAATAGCCAAAAGATGGAAAAAACACAAATGTCCACGAACTGATGGATAAACAAAATGTGATAGTTATATTAATCCAATGGAATTCAGTCATGACAGGAAATGAAGTTTGGACACACGCTACAACACAGACGAACCTTGAAAACATCATGTTAAGTCATTAAGCCAGACACAAAAGGACAAGGATAATCTGATTTCACTTATGTCAGGTTCCTAGAATAGAGCAATTCATAGAGACAGAAAGTAGAATAAAGGTTACTAGGGGCTGGGGTGGGGAAGTTATTGTTTAATGAATGAGTTTCCGTCTCTGTTTAGGATGCTGAAAAATTTCTGGAAATAAATCATAAAAAGTATGCTCATATAAAATGGTGAATATATTAAGGCCACTGAATTATACACTTAAAAATGGTAAAAATGCTAAATTTTATGTTACGTATATTTTACCCCAATTAAAAATAAATAAAGAGAAAGGTAGGCTCTCCCACTCCCTAGATCGATTAGAACTTTGGACACATGGACTGGGTTGATACGATTTATCCTGAATGTCCCAGTGAATAAATATTTACAAACTAAGAAAATGTGAAAAATTGCTGGCTAAAGTTAGGTTTGGGCGCTACAGGTATAGAGCATAGTGGGTAAGAAGGTCTTTGGGCAAAAAACGCCTAAAATTAAATCCTGATTCTGACGTTGAATAGGCGTGGCCCCATGCAAGTCATTTAACCCCTGGAAGCCTTAGTTCCCTCATCAGTAAAAACGTGATGATGATTGTTCTTTCCTCATAGGACTGTTATGAGGATAAAACGAAACTATGTACGTAAGGAGTTTAACACAGTGTTTGGTATACAATGAGCAATAAATTATTATGTCTTATGTAACTTCTCTTTCAGTTCAGTGTATATTTTTTAAAAGCATATTTTAAATAGTATAATACTCAAAAGCATTAGTGAACCTTAAAAAGTATTAGTGTTTTATTAATCTACTTACACAGGTTATCCAAAAAGGATATTTTGCCCCCTCCCATGCCCCGAATCAAATCAATTAGTATAAGTGCTTACGTAAAAGAGTACCAAAATGTATACTTTTATAATCTTCATGAAGGACTAACAACATGGCAAAGACTTGCTATACATTTTACATGTCTTATCTCATTTATTTCTCTCAACAAGTAATGAACTAAGTATTCAAATTTGGAGGCATCACATTATGTGACTTCAAATTGAACTAGAAGGCTACAGTAACCAGAACAGCATGGTACTAGTATAAAAGTAGAGACACAGACCAGTGGAACAGAATAGAGAACCCAGAAATAAAACCATATAGCTATGACCAACTGATCAAAGCGGACGACAACATACAACGGGGAAAGGAAGCCCTATTCAATAAATGGTGCTGGGGAAACTGGACAGCCACATGCAGAAGAATGAAACTGGACCCCTATCTCTCACCATATACAAAAATTAATTCAAGATGGATAAAAGACTTCAATGTAAGGCATGCAACCATAAAAAGTCTAGAAGAAAACATAGGAAAAACCCTTCTAGACATTGCACAGGCAAAGAATTTATGACAAAGACACTAAAGGCAAATACAGCTACAACAAAAATAAATGAATGGGACTTAATTAAATTAACTTCTGCACAGCAAAGGAAATAATGAGCAGAGTGAACAGACAACCTACAGAATGGGAGAAAATATTCTCAAATTCTACATCTGGCGAAGGACTAATATCCAGAATCTACAAAGAACTCAAACAAATCAGCAAGAAAAAAGCAAACAACCTCATCAAAAAGTGGGCAAAAGACATGAACAGAAGTTTTCAAAAGAGAATAGACAAATGGCCAATAAACCTATGAAAAAATGCTCAACATCACTAATCATCAGGGAAATGCAAATTAAAACTACAATGAGATACCACCTTACCCCTATCAGAATGGCATTAAAAAGTCAAAAAGCAATAGATACTGGCATGGATGCAGAGAGAAAGAACACTTTATACACTGTGTTAGTATAAAATTAGACTGCAAATTAGTACAAGCTCTATGGAAAACAGAATGGAGATTCCTCAAAGAAATAAATGTAGACCTACCATTCCATTCAGCAATCCCCACTGCTGGGTATCCATCCAAAGGAAAAGAAGCCATTTTATCAAAAAGACACCTGCACCCCAATGTTTATCACAGCACAATTCACAATTGCAAAAAATGTGGAACCAACCTAAGTACCCATAAATTCACATATGGATAAAGAAAATGTGGTATATACATACCTTGGAGTATTACTCAGCCACAAAAAGGAATGAAATAATGTCTTTTGCAGCAACTTGGATGGAATTGGAGACCATTACCCTAAGTTACGTATCTGAGGAATGGAAAACCAAATGCCATATGTTCTCAGTGATAAGTGGGAGATAAAAAATTGGTACAAATGGGTCCGAAGAGATTTAAAGGACATTGGAAACCAAGAAAGGAGGAGGGTGGGGTGAGGAGATACGTGATAAAAACTTACCTGGTGGGTACAATGAATACTATTCTGGCGACGGACACACCAAAAGCTCTGACTTAAGCATTATACAAGGTATCTACATAACAAACACATTTGTACTCCCTTAATATTTTGAAATTAAAGGAAAAAACCCAAATATTACAACCTCTCTTTTCTTGTTTAATAGATGCAAAAACTGGAGATCTGAGAGATTAAGTAACTGGCTCAAGGTCTTACAGCCAATGAGTGCTGGAGCTGGGATCTGAGTGTAGGCCTAACCTGGTCTTAATCACATTGCTAGAACAATATCTGGATAATTTTTGTGCAAGATTTTCAAAACTGACAGAAAGGGAAGGGCAGGGAAAATTAAAAAGAACTGAGAATGGAAACTCTTAAAAAATGGAGATTAAAATAATTTGGAGGGTAAGAACAAATGCAACACTTTCCCAAGGATGCCTCTGACAAAATTTTGTAAAAACAGGATGCCATCTACCATTGGAAAATTCGTGTCCTGTTACTGGGCACTGACAGATTTGAAAATTCCTCTCCTGCTGAACTACAAGTCACTTATCAGCTGGTATCTGGAGACTTCATCATTTTGTTGGAATTTATTTATTTATTGATTGATTGATTGCCAGAGTCTCACTCTGTTGCCTGGGCTAGAGTGCTGTGGCGTCAGCCTAGCTCACAGCAACCTCAAAGTCCTGGGCTCAAGCGATCCTCCTGTCTCAGCCTCCCCGGTAGCTGGGACTACAGGCACGTGCCACCGTGCCCGGCTAATTTTTTCCATTTTTAGTTGTTTGGCTAATTTCTCTCTATTTATAGTAGAGACGGGGTCTCGCTCTTGCTCAGGCTGGTCTCGAACTCCTAAGCTCAGGCGATCCTCCCACCTCGGCCTCCCAGAGAGCTAGGATTACAGGCGTGAGCCACCGCGCCCGGCCTGTTGGAATCTCAAAGAGCATAAATTTAGTTATTTAAAAACATACTTCCAAGTTTTTGAAAGTAATGTAAACTTTTCTTTGCAACTGTTTTAGAAAAATGTCTAGAATTAGAAAAGGCCAAATAACTAAGGAGACATCATTTTATTCTATTCAGGGTGTTCTCAACAGCTCCCCTTCCCCAAAACAACCACAGACAACATCACCAAAACATGTCATTAATGACAACCTAACTGCACCCCTCCCACAATTTGGATAACACTGCACTGTCCTGTTATCCTTTTCAGACCAGGATGAGGGGACAACGGAGCTTCAAGACCAGAGGAAGACCAGGGGTGATAGTATGACATCTTCGTTTGATGTTGTGACATCAGCAAACATGAAGTTGCAACCACCATCAGTTATACTAAAATATTCGTTTTCTCTCCTACAAGGAAAAACACCCCAGACGGACCCTTCCATCTTTGTCACTTATTTTCAGAAGGGAAGAAGAATACGCTGTCATATCCTAAACGGGGGTACCCAGCACATCTGCACCACCGAGGGCGCAGTGCAATCGCGCCGGGCACCGGAAACCGAGCCGGGTCGGCAGCCGGGGACGCGCTTCCAGGGGAGGCGGGACGCAGAGCGGGATGCGAGGTGGGGCGCGGAGGCCGCCCGCGGCGGGGCGATGGCCCCGGCCCGCGCCGCCAGGGCTGGTTTGTGCACGAGCCGCTGCGGGCCGCGCTCTTACCTCGCAGCCCGCGAACCAGCCTCTCGGCCCAGGCCACTCGCGGCGGCTGCGCGTCCAGGGGGAGGTGGCGACGCAGCGGGTCCCCGCCGCCGGCCGCGCTGTGGCACGGCGGGCCCTGGTCCTCTCGCCGGCGCCGCCTCCCGCTCGGGTGGCCCGCGCCCGGGTAGCCCCCCAGCCCGCGGCCCCGGGCGCCCGCGGAGCTCGCGGCGGACGAGGCGGCCGACCTCCGGCTGCCCGGGCGCCACTCCACGTCCATCTCCACCACCATGCCCCCTTCCTCTCCTTCCACCTCCTCCTCCTCCTCCTCCTCCTCGGCCTCGAAGCCCGGGTTGTCGCGGCTCCACGCCTGCCGGGAGCAGGACGAGAGCGGCGGCGACGGCGAGGCCGAGGCTCCGGCCGGGGGGTCCCGCGCGGCCGCCTGCCGGATGCGCTCCATCTCGATCTCCAGGCCCCGCTGCTCGCGGAGGCCGCCCAAGGCCGCGCCGCCCGCCATCAGCCGGCCCGCGCCGGGCGCCCGGGGCGCCGGCGGCCGCGGCGCGTCCCCGGGCTGCTGCGGCTGCACGCGGCTCGAGTGCACCATCGCGGTCACCGGCGGCCGGCGCGCGGCCCGGCCTCCCCGGGAGCCATGTTCTCTCCTCCCGGGCCCGCCGCCGCCTGCCCCCGCCCCCGGCCGCCCCTCGGCCGCCGCCCCTCCCCCGCCCGCCTCGCCGCCCCGGGCCGTTCCGGGCGGAGCCGGCGCCCGCCCTCGAGGTAGCGCGCGGGTCCCCGCAATCGGGGCCCGGGTATCGCCAGCCACTGCTGCCTCAGTTTACCAGAGAGGAGAGGGAACGAGAACCCTTTTGTGGGGCGCTGTGTGAACGAGCGAAATGCAGCCTGGGCGCCAGTGTCCAGCAGGGCCAAAGGGGTCTAGTCGTTCGGACGCCCCCGAGGACCGCTGCTGCTGACTTGCTTTGCATTTGGCGCCCCCCCATTCCGCCGCTTTGGGGATGTTTTCTTCAGTCTTTGATGCGCTCGTCTCTCCACACACTGTGGGGACCCCAAGGATTCGGCCCTGGGACTCGGGTGCTGCCACCGCGATCCCGGGTCCCCCTGTGGCCGGCACTGGCCTCTGCGGAACCGCAGCCGACGCCGGGCCCTGGGTCCGAACTTTCCTCCCCTCCTCTGCACACGTCTAGCTGGACGCTCTGCCCTTGTCGCCAACTTAACCTGCCTTGCATTTTTTAAACCTGCTTCACTTCTCGTTAAGGTTTGGGCATCGCTGTCCTTATTTACTTCCCAGGTGACACTCTGTGCTAGTCTCCTCTGTCTGCTCCTCAGCACCTACACCTCATCTTCCCAAATCTTGCTACTTCTTGTTACCCCACAAACGTGCCTCCAATACGATCTCAGTTTGTCATTGCCGCTGGCCTTATCTTACGTTATTCTGTGTTGAAACAATTGATCTCCATTCCCCACCTCAGCCTCCCCGCTGTTTCCAGATTGTGTTCCAGAACCAAGGCTGCTAATTTGTCCCATTGATGTTTAGACACCTCTGTGGGCTTCCAGCAGCTTAAAGGATAAAATTTCATTTCTGTAGCTTGATTCAGTAAATTTTCATAATCTGCTCCTGTGTTAGTTTGTGAGGGCTGCCATAACAAAGTACTAGAGACTGAGTGGCTTAAACAACAAATTTATTTTCCCACAAGGTGTGGGCAGGGTTGGTTTCTTCTGGGGCCTCTCTCCGTAGCTTGCAGATGGCCCAACTTCTCTCTGTGTTCCTCATATGGTCTTTCCTCTGTGTGGGTCTGTGTCCTAGTTTTCTCTTCTTCTTCTTTTTTTCTTTTTGAGACAGGGTCTCGCTCTGTCATCCGGGTTAGAGTGCAGTGGCGTCATCATAGCTTGCCGCAACCTCAAATTCCTGGGCTGAAGCGATCCTCCTGCCTCAGCCTCCCGAATGGCTGGGGTTATAGGCGCAGACCCTGGAGGCGGACTGCCTGGATTCAGATCTTACCTTCCACTTCCCAGCTGTGTGATCTTGGGCAAGTCACTGCATCTCCTTGTGTCTGTGAAAATGGGAAAAATGACAATGCCCATCTCATAGAGTTCTTGTACAGATTAGGTGAATTAATACATGTGTCTTAGTCTATTTGGGCTGCCATAACAAAAATACCATATACCGGGTGGTTTATGAATAACAAACATTTCTCGCAGTTCTAGAAGCCGGAAAGTCTGGAATTATGGAGCCAGCAGATTTGGTGTCTGGCGAGGGTCTGCTTTCTGGTTCACAGACTATGCCTTCCAGCTGTGTGCTCACATGGTGGAAGGGGCAAAAGAACTCCATTGGGTCTCTTCTCTAAGGGCACTAATCCCATTTTTGAGGGCTCTGTCCCCATGTCCTAACCACCTCTCAAAGTCTCCACCTCCTTATACTGTCACCTTGAGGATTAGACTTTCAATGTATGAATTTTGGAGGAACACAAACATCCAGACCATAGCAGTAAGGCATGTGGAACACTGTCTGGCACATGGTAAATGCTGGTAGTGTTAGAGCTATTATTAGCTCTTATATCTTAATTACGGTAATTATTTTCATCTATTATGTCTGCTTATTTGGCTATCTTTGTCCCAACTAGACTATGGGCTTCTTGAGGAAAGGGCTCCATGCTCAGCACAGAGGATTCCATAACAAATACTTACTGAACACCTACTGTGTGCCAAGCATACAGTAGGAGAGATCCTAGTGTTTCACTGAGCAATCAATGAAATATGCAAAAAGCCTAGCCCTCATGGAGGAGAGCTTATATTCCACAGGGATTTGAGTTTACATTCTGCAGGGATTTGAGTTTACATTCTACAGGGATTTGTGGAGTGAATGAATCACGAATCTAGTCAGATGTCATAATTTTAAGTCAGAGCTAGACCTTTGACGAAAACTGTGACTTTTCACTAGAGCTCTTTTTAACTTTTCCCTAAATCCACTTCTCCTCTGGGCTCCAAGTGCCCTTGGAATATTTTTTGCCTGCATGAAGCTATTATGAAGTTACTGCTCAGAATGCTATTTTTAATTTGGGGATATTTGTTCCCCAAAGATGTTTTCATTTCCCACAGTTCAAGGTTTAGAAGATAGCAGATTGCTGTCAAATTTATTCATTTCTTGTTTGCTTTCACTGCTTTTTGCTAGCAAGTCTGTAGTCCAGAGACATAAGGAAGAGAATACTGATGAAAAACACAATATTATCAAGAAATAATAGAATAAACAAATTAATTCAATTGATACCTATTTATTAGGTTCAAATTCTGTGAATAGAAAAAAACCATTATTTTAGTTAGAGTGAACAAAACAAAATATTATTTGGGCAGATCTTCCAAGGAGTTATATTCTCATTGGAGAGAGACACACCCTGAATCTAAATGACAAAAGATGAGATTACTATTTTGGATTAAGTCAATTATGAAGGCTTTCAGCACCAGAAGGCAGTCAGAAGAGAGATCACCCAGGCTGGCGTGGGTAGGGAAGGTAAGTAGGGCCAGATCATGGAACCCCTCAGATGCATGTCAAGGAGGGCAGACTTTGTTCTGTAGTTAATAATAATGATATTATTAGGTCTTTTTAAAAAATAATGTTAATTACTATTTAAAGCAAAATCTGAAACTTTCTTCTTGGGACTATACCCTCACCCTTAAAAGAATTCAGTTTGATTGGAAATGTGTCTACACATAACATAGTTCAGAGTTAGATGTATGCTTATCCAAAATTTTGTCTCCAAATCGTTGCAAGAAATGTCATTTTAAAAGATTCACAGCAATTTTTGTGAAATACGACTTCAATAGTATTTGCTCCGTTGCATCCTAAATGTTACATTTCAGGAATTTCGCTGTTAATTTCAGTCTTAATCTTCATGAATCCAACACCAGCCATCCAGTGCGTTTGCTGCTAAAATATCTTTCCGTTCTTTCTGGCTTATTAATGTTCCCTTTTGGGCTTTTACCTTAGCATGTTTTTCCCCTTTAGAGTGCCTAGCTTTTCCTCAAGCAGGCCCTGAGGCTATAAATTTCTCTCCCTGCCCACAGAATTCCTTCCTTTAATACCCATTTTAAAACCCTACTTCTCATAAGAAGTTTTTTCTTATTAAGTAAATGAGATGCACTTTTCTTCCTCTGATTGCCCCAATCTTACTGTCATATTACAAATTTCCATAATCTATAGGATCTGAAATATTACGTGGCATAGATAACATAGCCTGGATGCTGTTTGGTTTTATTTTATCTGTGTGGTAGGTTCTTCTCAGGAGACACTATATGAACCTCTTAGTGTTAGTGGACACTCACAGAAGGCAATGTTAAAAATGGTTCCATCTAATTTAATACTTAGTAGTCTCTGCACCTCTGACTCTTGTATTATTATTAAATTGCCTGTTGGTTTCTTGTTTGGCTTTTATTTTCCAGTGTGAACTGATGAAACAGACATGAAATGAAGTGCCTGTTGATCTGGCAGTCTCCGCCTCAAAAGGAAATCCAAAAAGAGTCTCCGGCGTGTGTGATATTGCTTAGCAATTCACCCAAACAAACATGTTTCCTCCTCAATTTTTCCCCCCAGTCCTTATTTGCTCAAGGACATTGTAAAATAAATGTTTACCACTTGACATCTGAAATCATTAGAAGAAAATTTGGCGTTTTGGGCTTTATAAGAAGGACTGCCAGCCATAGTAAAATTTTACTTTATTTTATTTCTCATTTTGCTGCTCTCATAGCACAAGGCTAGGATTTGTGGTCTGCTTCATGTGTGGATTTCGGTTTGGATTGGCCTGCATGTGTCCCTGTCTCTGTGGCGGATGTCTTGGCACCATCATTGGCTGGCACTGTGATCTTGATGACTTCACCTCTCTATCTCTCTCAGTTTCCTTCTCTGAATAATGAGGTTAAATACCCGCCTTGTGAATTTCCTACGGGATTTTTGTTGAAGACTGAGGGAATATTATTAAGTTTATAAAACATTATTGAGTGTTCAGCTAGATGCCAGGCACCATGTTGGACTCCAGGGAGACAAAGGTAAGACATAATTCCTCCCTTCAAGGGAATCAATGTTATAATCACACTGCCTGGAACCATCCTTCTATCTTTCCCAATCCCTCTTGTACATCCATAAAAACTTACGAATCTTTCAAGACTCAGACTCCAACTCTTCCTGGAACCTTCCTTGGGCATGATCTTGGCCCCAGCCTGAATTTACTTGCCCCTCTACCCTGCTAACCTTTACCCCAACATTTCCCACCATATACTGAAAACATCTGTTAATGTGGTTGTCTTCCTGAGTGGAATGTAAGCAGGGACCCTGGCTTATTCGGTCACTCATTGTCTAGCAGCTCAGCAGCCAATCCCCTTTCTAATGAGAACAGTCACCAAGTTTTCCTGGGGAACCACTCCCCTTCCTTCTGAGTCTATGTGTCTCAGGTGGGGCTGACACCACCACGAGCTTCCCAGTGGTGAGCATGGAACTCAGCCTTGGCGGATCAGAGCACCATGTCCCCTTGGCGCCTGTGAGTGCTATTTACCCAGTGTGGTATCCAGTTCTGTTCAATAAAAATCAGGCCAGAACTTTCCCCTCAGTTGTTGGCAAAGAAAAGCTTTTCTTCCCACTAGATTTAGAGTTGTGAGGATGTAAGTCCAGACAGGCTGGCAGCCAAATGTTGACGTTCAGGGGCAAAATGGTGCCAACAATATATATGTAAAAAGTACATATATTTAAAGATTGGAAGAAGCTAAAATTAGACTAATGTTTTGGTGGCTGTGCTAGTCGAGAACATTCTGAAATACATTTTTATCATGTGCCATCTCCTAGTTTTGTCAGAGGTAGATGTGATATTTATCATCTATATCTTTATCCAAGTTCAAAAGAGTTTTCAACAACGTAGGGCCAAGACCAGAGCTCTTTGGAATGCTCTGGGAGGATTTTCTCTTCACCAGCTCTAATTTATTGACTAGTATCTTTTGGGTATAGTTGTTAAAAAAACTTTGAATTTAATTGTATTTTCACTAGCCCAGATTTTTCCAAAAGCTTATCAGAATTTTTTTTTTCAAATGACTTTCGATGCCAACGTGAATAAGACTTACAGCATTCCCAGATTCACCAGATTTTACACAATACCTGTTTTATGTCTATCCTGCACAGTCTTAGATGTGATTAGTGTGCAAAAGAAGTTGTCCTGACCCGAGAGAAGCTTGTCATTAGCTTGCCATACCTAAGTAAAACATTTAACCAATAAGATCTTTATGATATTTTTCTGGGAATTTTTTTTGTTTTGTTTTATTTGAAATATAGATTCTGGAGTCCAACTTCTATTGGTTCCAATTCATGATGTCTGAGGGAGGTCCTAGGAATATGTATTTTAAGAGAGCAGAGCAAAGAGATGGAGAAAGACTGGGTTCTGATGACATCGTTTGAGCCCCTGAGTCAGCAAAGTTAGATCTATCCCTGGACTTCATGAGCCCAAAGTTTTCTTTTTTGATTAATTTATTTAGGTTAAAGTTTCTATCATTTGCAACTTGAATTGCACTAACGAATAAATTTTTTTTTTTTTTTTTTTTTTTCAGAGTCTCACTCTGTTGCCTGGGCTAGAGTGCCGTGGCATCAGCCTCACTCACAGCAACCTCAAACTCCTGGGCTCAAGCGATCCTCCTGCCTCAGCCTCCCGGGTAGCTAGGACTTCAGGCACGTGCCACCGTGCCCGGCTAATTTTTTTTTCTATTTTTAGTTGTTTGAGTAATTTCTTTCTATTTATAGTAGAGACGGGGTCTCACTCTTGCTCAGGCTGGTTTCGAACTCCTGAGCTCAAGCAATCCTCCTGCCTCGGCCTCCCAGAGTGCTAGGATTACAGGCGTGAGCCACCACCCGCAGCCTATCCTTATTCTTTTTATTGCCCAAATTACCCCAGTTTGGGCCAGTGGAAGTCCCCTTCAAGTCTGCTGTTTGGTCCCTTGGATATAAACCCGTTTTGTCTTTGAGTGCTTGCTTTCATTCCATCAGAAAAAGGTGTTCTGAGCTCATTTTCGTAATCTTCTAGTCCAAGAACAGGAGTCAACTGTATTCCAGTAACCCTGTGGCAGCTGTCAGTTTTGTGCCTCCCTGTTCCAATCCATCCATGATACTACTGGACTTGGACCCCTTAAATGCACTTCCTATGTCAGCTGGCACAATGGCAAGCCGTGGCAGTAGAGGGCACCGGAGGGACAGTGCAGGAAGTGGGCTTCTCATGCTGTCCCGGTCTCTGCCAGCACTGTGTGCACAGAACACCCCGAGGCGCTCACTCTCCAGCTGGTTTCCTGCTCCGCAGTCCTGCCCCAGGGTTTCCCGCTTGCCAGCCTGTTCCGCTGGTACCCCTGTGGGCAGTTTGCCAACTTCAGCCCACTAGCTGTGGACCCGTGGACCAGCCCACTATCCTGATCCGGGATAACGCAGCAAACTTCTCTGCCATCTGCTGGGCTGCAGACACACCCTTTCCAATGCAGTCCGAATCTCAGTCTTGGGGAGAGGGTCTCCCTTTGCAAATTGTTCCTTCTTTGGGTACTCTCATCCTTATAGTATTGTCAAAGTTCTCTTTTATCCTCTCTGCGTAACTCCCTGTTTTTAATGACTAATTCTTTGTATTAAATTTTCCTTGTTCAAATGACTGGTCTGTTTCCTGGCTTCTGAATGAACCCTGAGTAATAGAGAAGGGGGACAGGGAATGGTCATTGAATGGTGCCACCATTCAAACATGCGAGTGCAGGATGAACTTGGTCATGCCCTTGGATCCGAGCCAGTGCTGAGCTGCCGTGTGCAGGAACAACACAATGAATCAAGCTGTCACCAGCGGTTGATTGCAATGCAGTGCCGACGGAAGCAAGCACGCTGGGAGCCCAGGAGCTGCGGCTCTTGTGTGATCATGTCTACAAAGACTGTGGCACGGGCTTGTGTTCTCTCAGCTAGAAAAGCTTTCCCCGCACCCACCATTGTAAAGGAACTCACTCATGTATTTGTCTAATATTTTTTATAGCTTGCTTTTAAATTTATTATTTTTCATTGATTTATAATAATTGTACACGTATTGGGGTACGCATGATATTTTTGGACACGCATACAGTGTGTGATGATAAAATTAGGGCAATTGAGCTATCTGTTACCTCAAACATTTTTCTTTATGTTAGGAATGAATTCTTCTCTTCTAGCTATTTTGAAATATAAAGTAAATTATTGTTAACTATAGTTACGCTACTGTGCTATATCAAACACTAGATCTGATTCCTTCTGTCTAACTGTATTTTTGTGCCCATTTATCAACCTTTTCTTTATCCTCTCTCATCCTTACTCTCCCCAGCCCCTGGTAACCACCAGTCTACTCTCGACCTTCCTGAGACCCACTTTTTAGCTCCCACATATGAGTGAGAATATGTGATATTTGTCTTTCTGTGTCTGGCTTGTTTCACTTAACATAATGACCTTCAGTTCCAGCCACGTTGCTGCAAATGACGGGATTTCATTCTTTTTTATGGTTGAATAATGTTCCATTGTATACCTAGACCACATTTTCTTTATCTATTCATCCATTATTGGACACTTAGGTTGATTCCGTATCTTGGAATATGAATTGTGCTGCAATAAACATGAGAATGCAGATATCTCTTTGGTACAATGATTTGCTTTTTTTTTTTTGGCTATATACTCAGGACTGGGATTGCTAAAGCATATGGTGGTTCTGTTTTCAGTTTTTTGAGAAACCTCCATTCTGTTGTTCTCCATAGTGGCTGTACTAATTTACATTCTTACCAACAGTGTGTGAACATCGCCCTTTCTCTGTCTCCTGGCCAGCCTCCTTTATTTTTTTGTCCTTTTGATAAAGGCCATTTTAACTGGGATGAGATAGTAGCTCATTGTGGTTTTGATTTGCATTTCCCTGATGATTAATGATGTTGAGCATTTTTTCATATAGCCTATTGGCCATTTGTAGATCTTCTTTTGAGAAATGTCTATTCAGATTTTTGCCCATTTTATTTATTTAATTTTATTTTTCTACTGTTGAGTTGTTTGAGTTCCTTACATATTGTGGATTTTAACCCCTTATCAGATGCATAGTTTGTACATATTTTTTCATGTCATTTGTGACAACATGAACCTAGAGGACATTATGTTAAGTGAAATAAGCCAAGCACTGAAGGATAATTACTGCATGATCTCACTTATACAAAATAAAACATAAAAAGTAATACATGGGCAGTAAAAAAAGATTACATTTTATTAATTACTGGAGAACTGTGGAAAACCAAATAAGAAAAGCAATTGACACCACCACAATCTTAGTACATTCGCCATGTAAGATTTATTCACACCGACCAAGATAATCACAACAAAATATACACTAATTTAAAAAACAAAAGACTTCAGTGACATAAAATGTTATAATCTCTTGTGTAAAAGTATTTGGTTTGCTTCTATATAAATTTCTGTGCATAAAAGAATAACAAACATTAAAATGCAGTGATAGTTTGCATTTCTTCTATGGAAAGGACATAGACAAAACCCTGAAGCTTTTAGTTTACAAGGATGTTATCACGAAGCCACAAACTAAACTAATGATCAAGCACATTTATTTCCAGGTTCATATGCATATACATTCACCCACAAAAATGAGGAATAAGCATTTCATATTCTCTCATCCTGCAATAATGCTTTCTTTTTTCTTTGTACTAAAAGCAAAGTAAGAAATTGTATTTTTCTCTCCTTTTAATTGACTTCAGAAGACGCACTATCTAATTCGTGAGAAATGCGAAATTTCAGGTGTTTATCTTCTTCCTTACTCTTAGGGTCTGGGACTAGCCTGTCTTCCTGGCTATGAAATTCACGGCTGTGGGAACGCTCCTGACTATCAATCATGTCGGAATGCTCATTGCTGGCATCATCGGCCTTCCGCTTGTGTAATCTGGATTGCTCGTGGCTGTGGGTTTCCACACTTTGGTCATCCATTTGACTCGTCTCATGACTGTCCTTCCCAAGGCTTTCCCAAGCAAAAGGCACATTCAGGCGATGGGCAATGGGGACGGCCTTGCGTGCATCATCCGAGTCCTCGCTTTCCATACGTGAGGTGGGGTCCTCCTCTGTAGAGTCAGGAAACTGGATCACAGCACAAAGGGAAGAAGAATTATGTGAGTGGCCAGCGATGCGAACATTGTAATTCTTTTCTGCTTTCTCTTTTTTAGGCCAACTTGTACTGAAAATTGTCTAAATTAGGCTGAAATAATACTAGCATGTTACTTTGTAATTTACCAAGCCCTTTTCACATAGTTTAATAAGTACACACTTGTGTATGTAATGGAACCTGTGAGGTAGGTCTCATGATGTCTGTTCTACACGAAGGGAAAGCGAATGGAAAGTTAAAAAGTTAAGTGAATAGTAAATGTCAGGGCTATGTCAAATTTAGATTCTTTGATGATGGAGTCAGTGTAATTTGCAACTCTCCAATTCCTCTTAGGTATTTGACTTCAAAACATCACCATGATATTTTGAAAATAATTGCTATTTTCCAAAGTCTTTTTTTTTTTTTTTTGATCTAAAACAAGTGAGTAGAATAAATGCTTTAGAGCGAGGATTTGGAAAAGTTGAATTGGCTTTGAGAGACAAAATCAGGGAGAAATTATCTGGATTTAAACAGAAACCACCAAGTGGAAAAAAGTTTTGTATTCAATGGTCACAAAATAGATTACTAGTAAATGCTTGCTGAGTGAATGAATCAATTAATGAATACACAGACTCTGGTTTTTTAGAATTGAGCTCTGGTTAGAACCATCAGATGTGTGTGTTAAGGATTTACCTGGACGTCATGTCTGCGGAACTTCTTGGATTTTGACCTCAGTCCATAAGCCACACTGTCACCTCGGCCATCGTATGTGTCTTCTGTGGGGACAGGTGGAGTGAAAACGGAGGTTATGGGAGTGTCAGTGGGAAAATCAGTGACCACCTCATCGGATTCATCGGAATGGTGAGACTCGTCAGAATGATGAGAATCGTCAGGATGATCGACGTCATCGGAGTCGTGGCTGTCCGCGTGGTCTCCATCGTCTTCGTCATCTTCATCATCCACGTCGTCCACGTGGTCATGGCTCTCATTGGATTTACTTGGAAGGGTCTGAAAATCAAGATGGCCGGGAAAGTTAGTGTGTGGCTTTTTATTTTCCCTTACCCGTTACAGTACATTAGTCTTTTACGATCTTTCTTTTATTTCGTTTCAGAAATTTTGCATTCACGATGCCCACCATGGCTTTTAGGAGCTACATTCCAATTTCTTCTTTTAACACAGGGGTAAATGAAGCAACATGCTGAGGCACTTTGCTTGCTTTCCAGTAAAAAATTATTTTCTCTGGGAGGCTGAGGCGGGTAGATTGCTCAAGGTCAGGAGTTGGAGACCAGCCTGAGCAAGAGCAAGACCCCGTCTCTACTAAAAATAGAAAGAAATTATCTGGACAACTAAAAATATATATATATATAAAAATTAGCCTGGCATGGTGGCGCATGCCTGTAGTCCCAGCTACTTGGGAGGCTGAGGCAGGAGGATCGCTTGAGCCCAGAAGTTTGAGGTTGCTGTGAGCTAGGCTGATGCCACGGCACTCTAGCCCGGGCAACAGAGCGAGACTCTATCTCAAAAAAAATAAATAAAATTATTTTCATAGATATTTTCAAGCCAAATATGTCAGTGTTACTTTCATATTGATAACATTCTTTTTCCTTGTACATATCAGACATTATTTAATTTACTCAATTCGATGATGCAATATATACAGATACATAATCGTGAGACTGATTTTTCTGTTTGAAATGAGAATGATCAAGGGATCAGAGCATCTATATTTTAATGTGTATACCGAAACCTATAACCACCTCTCTATTAGCACGGATAATTGAAAGGTGACTCTCTTACACCTGTCTATAAAAACTGCAGCTCCAAACTGTCCAGTGAAGTAAGCAGTTAATGGCTATTGAACATAAAATCAGCAAATACACTGGGTCATTTATGTAACTTTCCTTAATAGGGATTCTTAGCATATTCAACTTGAATCTTAAAGAAAATAAAATTCTCTCTTCACTCGGGAAATATGTTAATAATCCTGATAAAAAGAATAGTTATTAAGTAAATTATTACGTTAGGAACAGAAATGTTCCTAAAGGCAAAATATTGACTCTAATAGGCATTAACTAGATGCTTATCGGATATTAGATATCTATAAAATACCTTATATAAATGACAAGTGGCTTAATATTTCAAGTTATAGGAATCAATAAATATTTTCTGCAATACTAAACTTACTTGAAGAAACCTGATATTTCTGATACTTAGTAATATGTGTTTTCTTTCTGGGCCAGTTTTAGACTGGCAATTTACTGGAAAATTTGCTAATGGAATTTCATGAGAAGAGACCCAGGCATTGGCTTCTTACATCTCTCCAAGGCATGATGGGCCTCCAATTGAAAGTGAGAACTTACCTCTTGTTTAAAGTTATCAGTTTCTTCAGAGGACACGGCATTCTGAAGAAGGAAGGGAACGTATTAGTGTACATCACACATGCTAAGCTTTTTGATTCAAAAGTTAGCCTTATCAGTGCAAAGCAGGTTTTATTTTTCAACCTCTTGGTGGGTGGCTTGCAATGGGAAGAAGCCAAGATGGCAGATCAGTCGGTGTACTAAGGACACATTTATCAGAAGAAAGGCGGGATCCATTTAATCGGCCCAAATGGCCTTCTCGTAGCCATCTTTTGTTGTTGCTGTTTGATTTCAAGAAGTTTAAAGATACCTGTGGTGCTAGGAGATTCTGCTTCTGAGATGGGTCAGGCTTGAGCCACGTGGCCACAGCATCTGGGTATTTGTTGTAAAGCTACAGGAAAAGTTGCATATTTATCATTATTAAAAAAAGAAACACAGGGATTTCCAAGTGATAAACTGGAAAAAAGCAACTATTCTTCACCAGTCTTCTTGGAGAAGCATAATCTGCATGCATATAGTCAACCAGAGCCTTAGATACCTTTTTATAATTTATTTTTTCTTGCAGATTCATTTAATGAGCTCTTACATAACACCTACTGTGGGTCAGTGGGTGCTTTCAAAGTGCTTTACAAATATACATTTATTTGATCCTCAACCCCCTAGGAGATAGGTATCATTACTATCCCCATCTTACAGATCAGGAAACCCAGCCACAGTGCAGTTAAGTGGCAGAAGGGACAGAGCCCGGGTCCAAACCCAGGCAGACTGGCTCTCAACACTGGTCTTCACACTGTGCTTTCTTGTTCTATGCTTGCTGGCTAAATTTTTCCCTTGGATTTATCACATCTAAAGCAGAGGTGCCCTTAATTACTGTCGATCTTCGTTGTTTCCTTGCCATGGAACAAGGAAAAATTCTGTAAGGCTATGCTGTGTAATATAGTATCCCTTCACCGCACGGGGCTTTTAAAATTTAAGTTAATTCCCAGCCTGAGCAAGAGTGAGACCCTGTCTCTACTAAAAATAGAAAGAAATTGGCTGGACAACTGAAAATATATAGAAAAAATTAGCCGGGCATGGTGGCGCATGCCTGTAGTCCCAGCTACTCGGGAGGCTGAGGCAGGAGGATCGCTTGAGCCCCGGAGTTTGAGGTTGCTGTGAGCTGGGCTGACGCCACGGCACTCTAGCCCGGGCAGAGTGAGACTCTGTCTCAAAAAAAAAAAAAAATTAAGTTAATTAAAATGAAGTAAAATAAAAAATTCGATTCCTCAGTTGCACTGGGGCTGTATTTAAGTGCTCCAAAGCCACATGTATCTAGTGGCTATCTTACCAGAAAGTGCAGAAATATACTCTTAACGTCATTGCACGAAAGTTCTATTGCTATAAGATGCCAAGGGTGTAAATCCAATGGCCTTTTCTTTAGCCAAGTTATTTATCTGGAAAATGGTGACAGTATGCTAGCGCAGGGGACTGGAAATTGCTCTGAATAAGTGTCATCTGATCGGCTGTGTCATCCAGGGCTGATCGCTTCATGTCCCTGTCATTGAGAATGGAACCCTAGGGGTTCCAGGGAGTCCCTTCTGCAGCCACCGGGAGGACAAATGTGGAGGGGACCAGTCAGTAGCACTTAGGGTCTCTCTCATGGTGGGCTCTAACCAGAGAAGCTTAATATTGGCCTTCTCTGAAAGTTTTTGCTAAAAGAAGGGGCTCCTTACCTAAAAAAGATGCAAAAACTACTGGGCTAGATGAGTTCAAAGTTTTCCTACTTATTTTTCATATATATGTACATTTATATTTATGTATTACGTATATATTTTTTCTCATGGCACATGTAATACTGGCTCAAGGAGAATGCATTTGTAAGTTGAATTTTTACTTTTATAAAAGTAATATGAAGAAAATATAGCTAAGCAAAACGAACAGACTACAACCCACCCAATTCTCCTCCTAATACAGATAACCAGCGTTTATTTTCAGGGGTATAATCTTACAGACTTTCCTATAGTTTTTGCTGGCTCTAAGTTTTTGGGATTCTAGAAGGTTGAGCTCTTTACTTCTCTCTTCATTATCACGTAATGACATAAACTGTCGGGCTTCTTGTGCCTTTTAAAAAATGCATCGTTGCCATGGTTTAGCCTATTCAAAAGGCATTAATTCTTGCCTCAAATAGTGTGACCTCTGTCTTCACTGGAGATATTCGTTTTTCTGGTTTCTTGTGATTCAACACCTATGTTCTCAAATCATTTGGAAAACAGACACCTACACACGGCCACTCACACACACACACACACACACACACACACACACACACACAAACACATACAGAATACTTCTTTTAATGTCTTCATTAAGCAATCTAATTGCAGTGACCCCAGGCAACTCTATATTGGCTTTTATTCCGTTCATTTGAAATTGAACACTGACTTTTTGTGCCAGCTCCCGGACACAATGCCCATTTGTTGTTTGGCTGGCACAGTTTCATCTCTTGCGGAGGGGTAGATCCATCTATAGTGCCGGTCAAATAAATATAATGAAGAGTTTGGTTTGGTCTTATGTTTGGCTAGAAAAATGTGATCTAATGTCAGCTGAGAAGCACAATAGATACAAACAGCATAAATAGACTTTCTTTTCACAATGGGCTTTTTAGCAAATATCTCAGGCAATATTGTGACTATTCCGGTCATACAAACAGTCCTGACTAATATCTGAGGTGAATTTTAAACTCAGCCTTCCACTCAGTAAAAGCAAAAGATGAAATTTCCTGCTCATAGAACAGTATGTGGACTCGTAGAAAACAAAAAATCACACAACTTCCTAGAACTTGTTTTACATCCGACAATGGCCTAGCCACCCTAGAGCATTATTTTATTATGTCAAAAAAATCTAGCTTGGTTTTCAGAGCATATATTTTTAAAAAACTACACTGTGCTTGGTACTGGCCTAGGTTCCCAGCAGGCAGTCAATAAATACTTGTAAATTAATAGGCTTGACTATGAAGATAAGTAAAATTGCAACAAATCTGTTTGTTGTGCCTCTTGCAATAGTTGCATAAATAATTTAATTGTATAGTAAACCTAAAAGATGCTTACCTGTTTTTCCTCAGAGCTGCCTGAATCAGCCGGTTTAACCTTTGAAAGAGAAAAGATGAAGAAAGCTTACAATGTAAATGTTTTCCTAGCACATGGAAGCACACAATTCAGTTATTTTCAGGAATTTTCTTTGAGATTCAGGTGTACTCACGGGTAGGGCGTAGGCAATGCCAAAGAGGCAAAAACAAATCACCGCAATTCTCATGGTCGTGATTTTTCCTGCAAAATATTTTGTAAGGGGAATTCGGTATCTTCAGAGGTTCAGACAGTTATACTACCACATTACCAAATCATCACAAATACAATATATTTTCTATCCAACCTTTTCTATTTCGTAGAGAAGACTTTTCTTTTTAATTTTTTGGTCTTTCAAGTTAATATTTGTATTGCCACCTCTCTTCTCCATCTCTTACTATTAGGCAAGGGAGAGTGGGATTTTACATGTCTATATTTACTCAATTCTTAAATTTAGAGTTCCAGAGATTATACCATTACTGCCTGATATCTCCAGCTATTTTAACCTAAAAACAGATCAATAGTCATTTAATTAGGCCAGGCAGGGTGGCTCATGCCTGTAATCCTAGTACTCTGGGAGGCCAAGGAGGGAGGATCGCTTGAGGTCAGGAGTTCGAGACCAGCCTGAGCAAAAGCAAGACCCCATCTCTACTAAAAACAGAAAAATTAGCCGGGCGTGGTGGCGCATGCCTGTAATCCCAGCTACTCAAGAGGCTGAGGCAGGAGGATCACTTGAGTCCAGGAGTTTGAGGTTGCTGTGAGCTAGGCTGACGCCACGGCACTCTAGCCCAGGTGACAGAGCGAGAAGCCATCTCAGAAAAAGAAAAAATGTAATTAAACTAATAAGCTATTACGGGACTACTTACTTTTCAGAGGAAAAAAAAAACACAAAGAGAAAAATGAAAGAAATTTGCTTTATATTTGCAACACGATTTTTAACTTGAATTGTTAAGTAGGTGCTACTTAGGTGAAATGAAGCTATCTCTGAAGTTACTTATTCAAGTAAGGTATTGTAAAAATTTGAAATGAAAAAGAAAACACTCAGAATAGTCAACAGCTTTTCTATTTGTGATAATGAGTCTACACAGTGTCATACAGGTATGCTGGTGAAAATTTTAACAGCTAAATTTAGGAGTAACCTATTCAGAAAGGATTTCTTTCCTTGAAAATGAGATAAATCATTTTAAACATGGGATTATCATTGTATTACTTTAGCACGAAACATCCTTTTTCTTTCAAATGCCTCTACAGTCATCCATCCATTTAAAATGATAGAGGTATAATCATTTCAGAGGGGCATAGAATTGTACTTTTTTCTGCTAGGAAGCAGTAGTTCCTGTTCTTTTGAGGACCCAGTGGAAGAATTTTGAAGTTTTATATTCAACCGGCTTTTGAGATACCTGGACATCTTTGTTCCAGGAGACCTGCAATGTATCTGATCTGCTTATTCCAAAGGCTAGAACAATCTGTCTGTTTAAGAGGGTTGCAGTTCAAGCTATTTTCCTTAGAACTTTGATTTCCCCATAAAATTCAACCAAATGCCTGAACTACAGCACAGCAGCAAACTGCGGGCTTACCTTGGTGGTGTCTGGCTGAGACGGCTGCAGCTGGCCGGAGAAGAGTCCAGTCCCAGGAGATGCTGAACTTCCTGCCTTCTCTCCCTGCTGCTGACAGCCGAGATCTCCCGGAATTTAAATGCTGCTGCAGCCGTTCTCCACCAACCCGGGAGGCGGAGAGATGGGTCATGAGGTTTTCTACCACTGCCCAACCCACCTGCTCCCACACTTCCCCCTCTGGTTTTGTGGTTAGGAAAAAAAAAAAAAAAAAAGCAAAAAAGCAGACACACATCTACAGTTAAAACATTACTCATGTGCAATATCATTAACTAGCCTTCTCATTTACGGGATTGGCACTCAGGATCCAGGAAGAACTCTTAGGGGTCCCATAAAAACAAAGGGGGAAAGTAAGTAGCTCTTACAAAGATTTTTATTGTTTCTGAATTAGAGGAAAAAATATTCATGTAAATCAGCCCTAAATAACATTAAATAGAATGGATTTTTGTTTCTTTTGGTTGAAGTAACAGATAAAAGTAGTAACTGCGACCACATTTGCCTCTGTGTTTATACTTACTGAAGGGCTAGACCACTATTGTTCAGGCGTACAAAGAATTCCAAGAACCTCCCTCTACCCTTTATCACTGAAGCTCAGTTTTGTGATTTCCAGTGTGCAGCAGCTTGTCGTTTAGACAAATGGCTTCAGTGACATTGAAATTCCTATTCACGCCCGTTAAGTTGGATTTACAGTGACCATTCAAATACGTGGACTTTTGCTGCACTGTTCGAATGGTTTGGAGGTTGGTGAACCTGATAACTCGCTGTAGAAAATAGAAGACGGTAATTTACTCTGGATGTTGCAGAAGTCAAGCGGTTTCTGAATGAGAGCAGGCTGATTGCTCGGGAGCCAGACTTCGGCTTTGAATTCCACTCTGTCACTAATGACCTGTGTGATCTACGGCAAATCACGTCGCCTACCCATGCTTGTTTCCTCATTGTAAAATGCAGACACTATTGCCTAGCTCGTGGGATTTTTGAGAGATTTAAGTGAATTAGTATATGTAAAACTAACAATGCTTGGCGCCTACTACATGCAAATGCCCTGCACATTTTAAAGACTCTGTGTGCGCGTTAACTATTACCGAAATTTTTAGGGGGAGCAGGTAGGCATGATTTTTAATGTCTTTAAATGGAATGGGTTATTAGGAGGAGGGTATATGTAAGATCTTTAAACTGTGTGCATCAATAGATGCCCTTTTCTAAAAGGAACAGATTAGATCTCCGAATCGTCTTTTTCTAGATTTTTCCCAGGATATATAAAGTTGGCTACTTAATAAGAAAAACATTTTTTAAAATTTCTATGGCAAGAAACACTTTACTAGGTATTTAAATGGTGCTTGAATGAACGAAAATTACAGGTGAAATCCAAATATCGGAGCAGAATTCAGGGATAGCAGAGTTCTGGGTTCATTTTAAATATTTAACATTGTCTTGAGATCACTTATCTTCTTCATCTACCTTTCCCACTTGTGAAATGGGGATTGTACTATTCATTTACCTTACACCTCCATTCTAAGAATTGTGTGTGAGTTGAGATTAAAGACAAATGGTCCTATTTATTATCAGTTCTAAGGTGTCAGCTTCTGTTGCCAAATATTGCTTTTAACATAAATATTAAGTAACTTCCTGCAGTGTTAGTAGTAAAACTAATCCATAGGTCTTATGTACATTTGGTAGGGGGGCAATAGGTCTCTTTTAAGTTGGAAGTATTCCAAATGAATTGATATTATCGATTTGCAGATCATAAGCATACGCTTTAATACTGAAGATGGCACCTATCTGCATAAAATATAAAGCACACAGGTTATAAAATTGCAAAATGGACTTCTTATTTCTGCTTTTAAGAACAGTTTTTTTTTTTCTCTTTAAACACATTACTCACAGAAGCTGTCATGGTGTCCAATTTAGTGGAGGGAAGTCCAGAAATTCTAAAAACAACAAGATTTCCACAGGATTTACTATGGTTTACTCTGTGCCCACAAGAATGATCCAACACGAAGTTAGAGAATTATAGGAATAGATTGTGCTGGAGCCCAGCCATCTTGCCATGAACCATGTGGCCCTTCACAGGCCTCTTCCGGCCACAGCTGCAAGGTGCCACACGATGGCAGTGTTTCTGAAAAGGATTTCAGACTGCAGTCTGGTTCTATGAATTTTCATGTTCCCGCAGCATAGAACACCCATGTCTTGAAGGACAGAACTATAACACAGCTGTGGAACTCTCCATTTCTGGGAATGCCAGGTGAGGAAATATTTCCCAACAGTGAGCTGCTACCCAATCAGGGACGGGGTCCGAGAGAACCCAAGCATTCTCGTTCTGCTCCGTTGTTGCCCTCAGCAATCCCAGGTCTACGCCATTGTCTCCTTTCTCACTTCCTCCCCTCGCTGGAAAGGTTACTACCTCCAAGGTCTCACTGGGAGTAAAGTCTTGTGAATTCACGGGTAAAGAATGTGTCTGGGATGCTTCACAGTTGAGAAGATAAAGCGATTTGCAATGGGAGGCCATTCTGTAAAGTAGTATGAGATGGATGAGCACGTCATGCTGACTTTTGAGGAGGCTCGTGTTTCTTGCTTTTTGTACTCAAACCTGCTGCTGCTGCTTATTTTTTTCCGAGTAGGATTTTCCAGCTGCCAGAATGAACATGTTAAATGAGTTAAATCACAGAAGCTCAATCTGTAGTATCTCCACAGTTTCCATTCTTGATTAGGATAATGGTGGGTTTTTAGAATCAAGTGGTCAAATGTCTGAATTCCCTGTAAATCTTGTAAATGGAAAGGAAAAAGTTTAGTTGTCAAACTGGAATGCAAAGAGCGGTTTATGATCTTAAACTATAGACACTAGAAGAGGACATATGGAAACATGTAAAGAACATTATGCTTTTTTCCTGAATTACATGAAAATTCTCATATAATAGAAAAATTTGTGTCTGACTGACCCTATTTTTGTGGACAACTTTATTATACTGACTTCTAGTTTATTTGGACATTTCTAATTATATTCTACTTAGTAAACTGTAACCGACTATTTCAACTTTTTCAGCTCTACGAATAAATTTTTTTCCCTTGAGTCAAGGTTCAGATATGACTCTGATAGCTTGGCAACGTCACTAATCTGTCACAAAGAAGTTGGGAATTAAAGCTAATCAGAAGCCCAGCGCAATATTTATCATTTGTAGTCTAGGGAAAAGGGGCATTATTTATCAGAGGGTAGAAAGCAAAGGTGGAAGATAAAGCTGCTATTTTCAACTTCAGACATGAAATTAGAACATTTCAGAAATACAAAAACCACCATAAGACATTTTAGCCCGTTGCTCAATAACTTAGATAACGAAATTTCGCTCCTGAAAAAAATGGTCTTATTATTAGTAAACATTAGTTTCAACTTAAAACAAATGAAAAAAGTTTCACTTTGGACCCATAGAATTGTTACAGAGTAAATAAGTACTCAATAAATTGTTGGTAAGTACCCGCTCAGCTCTCCATCTCTAACAATGAATTCTGAGCCTGTAAGTTTTGCTTATGAATACAATGCATAGGCGCTATGCTTGAATTCAGAGTATATCTTATATATTCATATTTAATATTTGCCAGCACTGAAGAATCTAGTATTTCTTTATTGAAGTATTATTACTCACAATGAGGGCATTCTAACACTCTTTAAACGATAGTTTTTTTAAAGTGCATTTAAATTATTAACATTTTCTTTTTTCTTAAATGACACCACTCTTATCTTCATGGAGCCCATTTATTCATGAAAATCAACTAAAAAATTTGAGACCCGCGTAGCCAATGAGGCTAACGGGGTATGGTTAAATGGTAAACTCCGTGGGGGCCGCTGGCTGGAAAGGTATGTGGTAGAGACCTTTTGTCTACAATGGAGTTGAAGGGGCAGGTGTTCTGGGATTGGGCTCAAAGAGAATGTTCCCACCCAACATCAATTGCAGCTGCATAAGCTCTATACCTACAGCAACCTGGGGAACAATTCAGCAGCCTGTAACCGGGGTGAACCCACAGAGGGATGTAGAAAACTGCAGGAAAGCACAAATAAAAAAGTCTGGCGGCTGCAGAACCTTGTTTGTACAGAAAAGGCATTTGGTAGCAATAAGCATCCAGCAACAGACATTTTGCAGAATGTATTTGAGGGGAGAAACACATTCTCCTTCTCCAAATCTGGTTTATGAGAATTCTTATTTAAAATCCGATGGTTGGGTAATTTTTGGTAGAGAATCCATTATGAGGTTGACATGAAAGGTGGCCATTTCAGTGCAGGACAGAAAAAAAAAAATCAGAAGGAAGAGGATAAAAACGAGACAGAAAAAGCAGCAGCTAAATCAGATCTTTTTCTAGCCACACGTGGCTAAAGTTTTTTGTTTGTTTTGCTCATTCCTGTTAAGGAATAACTCCCAGTAAGGTCATATCCCATGGTATAACGTTTATGTTTTTTTTTTTTTTAATTTCAGCATATTATGGGGGTACAGATGTTTAGGTTACGTATGTTGCCCTTACCCCCCCCCGCAACGTTTATGTTTTTTAAATATATAATTTAAACTAACTTGTAATTAAAGTTTGATTCCTTCTTTAATGTTTGAATTCCTCGATAGAATTTAAGTTCCGTGATATGCTTATCCCTTAGCAGTTTATGTGCCAAGAAATATTTATTGTGTGAATGAAGACGTTGAACTCTATTATAAAATGTATATAATTCTTATGTTAATTGAGTTATTCCTAGTGATTATTTTCTGTGGCTTTCATAAAGCCCCAAATTAAACATCTTTTCTAGATCCCATGAGAAACAGCGCTCAGGTTGAATGAATTATACTTGAGAACTTCGGGCAAGCTTCCTGTGCCCAAAGAGGACTGCCCAGGTGAATTCTATTTCTCATATAGCATGAGGTCTTCTGGGGTCCAGCATCCTTCTGTCTCTCTGGCCTTAGTTTTCACCAACTTTTCTCCTTGTGCTTCCTAAAACAAGCACACAGAGCTACCTGGGGTTCCCAGTGCGCCATTCTATTTCAAGTCTCCATGCCTTTGCTCATGCTGCATGGTCCTCATGTCTAGACTCTTCCTTCAGCCCCACCCACAACCGCCTCTGAAACGTGCGCACATCTTT